TTTTTATTATTTTTTCATTGGAAAGGCGGATATACAGAGAGGAGAGACAGAGAGGAAGATCTTCCGTCCGATGATTCACTCCCCAAGTGAGCGCAACGGGCCGATGCTATGCCGATCCGAAGCCAGGAGCCTCCTCCAGGTCTCCCACGCGGGTGCAGGTTCCCAAAGCTTTGGGCCGTCCTCGACTGCTTTCCCAGGCCACAGGCAGGGAGCTGGAAGGGAAGCGGGGCTGCCGGGATTAGAACCGGCGCCCATATGGGATCCCGGGCGTGCAAGGCGAGGACCTTTAACCACTTGCGCCACCGCGCCGGGCCCTAGGCTTGTATTTTTATTACAACTCTGACCAGACTACAGGTTTCTTGAGAACAGGGGTCACATCTTCTTTACCTTCACATTCCCTGTGATTCACACAGCGAAGTGTATGTCACACCCACGCACTCACTGTGTGTCTAATTGTGTACATCAAATATAGCAGGCCATTCTTCCCACTTCTCCCCTCCCCAACATACATGTACCTACACACACACACACACACACACACACACACACACAAATAACAAACACGACATCCTCTGACATGAAGGAAAGTAGTATGAAAGAAGATGTTGCATCCAGAGAAAGGGACCTACTTTAAAAATATATATTTATTTATTGAAAAGTCATACTTAGAGAAGAGGTAGCCAAGGCTGGATCAGGCCAAAGCCAGACACTTCATCTACGGAGCCCAGATGGGATACCAGTGGTGCAGGTAGCAGTTTTACCAGCTAGGTCACAACACCGATCTCAGGTGGCCTGGTTTCTAGTCTTGGATGTGCTAGAAAATAACCCTATGACCTATGGCAAGATAGTTAAATTTCTTCATCTTTAAGTTAGAAGCAAATTTCATATACCTTAATTCTAAAACCTGCAGTTCCATTGCACCAAAGGAAATTAGGTATTCTTTCCGAAAGGCCTTTGCACAGGCCAGGAACACCTCTTTCAACGATGTGTACACCCCAAATTACACAGAATCCACTGCTATGTCTCTAGCTATCATGTTCAGTCACTTCTGTTCCTTAAGTGTTAGGATTTTTTTCAACAACTACCTTAAGAGTCAAAAAGAGACTTAAACCTCTGACTTAAACATGGAGTTTCTTCCAAGAGCTCAGGCCAGGCCTGGATATTGTCCATATCCACTCAGAGAAACAAGGATAAGTTTCTTGAGTATCTGAATTTAACAGGAATCTCCCCATTGGTTTCTATATTACCCTTAGTATAAAAACTGGACAAAGAACCAACAAAATATTTCCATAATAATACTGTAGTATAAAGAACATCACGTGAAACTTATATTTTTTATTCCATCTACAGACTTCACTTTTAGCTAGTATTAAAAAAAAATCTTGTTGTCTAAAAACCTCTTCCTGGGCCCAGTGCAGTAGCCTAGTGACTTAGTCAACGTTTTTCACTCATTGGTTCTAAACCCAGCTGTGTGCCGGTTCTAAACTCAGCTGCTCCACACCCGTGCGGAAGACCTGGAAGAAGCTCCTGGCTGCTGACTTTGGATCAGCTCGGCTCTGGCCATTGCAGCCACTTGGGGAGTGAACCAGAGGATGGAAGATCTTTCTTCTGTATCACCTCCTTTCTGTATATCTGCCTATCCAATAAAAATAATACATAAATCTTTGAAAAAAAAAATCCTCTTCCCAATGACTTCCACACTGATAGCAAACTTGACTCTTCATTAAGCACCTATGTCTTCTACCCTGGAAAACAGGCTGAACTATTACTGACAGCAATGGCAACCACCTGAATTCACCAAGCGCAAACAAAGCGACTGCACCTTGTGGCTGACAACTAGGTAGAGAATATGTGCAAAAGCCAAAGAGCAATGAGCGACTTTCTCTACAGAACTGTGATCAAATCAGCCAGCACAAATCAACCAAGGCTGACTGCACATGGTCAGTCCTAAATTGTGTCTCGCCATTGGTAAGAACTCCATGTTTGTTCAAATGCTGTCTGGATAAATAAATGAACTTCAGTGGACTGTTCTCAAACAAAAACCTCTACAGACATAGAACTACCCAACATCTTTTACACAAAAGGAGATGTTGAAACAGCCTATCAACAGCATGATGTGAAGGGCTCGGTAAAGGCTTGGTGAGACTCCTGTATCGAAGCCCTGGGAGGAATACAGAGATGAGGAAGACAAGAGCTCCGCCCTCTGGGTCCTCACAGTCAAGCGCAAGGGCCAAATGGACAGCACAGCCGAACAACATGTAAGTTTCACTGTACAGGTGCTAATTTTAAGCAGACAGGAAGGACCCTAGGTGGGTGAGGCTCAGGGGCAGAGGCAGAGGTGCTGAGAGCTAGGCAGCCAAAACTGAATAGAGTATGTTTTGGGTGGAGGAGGAGGAAAGCTCAGAGGAGACAAAAGGGTTGGCCACGTAACACCCAAAAGCACTGTGATCCAACAGTACCATGCATTTAAAAAGACTGCAAACCAACTGTCCCGTGTGAGATGTATAGATTTCCAAGGACCCAGGTGACTCAGAATTCCCACACTGGAAACTTACTTCCCACCCCAACAGCTTGCCCAGGGCCTAGTAGTCAGAGAGGCTGAGGAAAAGATCTCTTTAACGGGAACATGTGCATTTGTGAACAAGCTCCCAGACCCCTCCTCCTGCACACCTAACCCAGACATGCCTTCGGATATGGATCAATTCCTGCTTAGCTTGAGACCTTAGCTGCACACTGGGATGGCTTAGGGATCTTTTCAAACTTGCTGCCATCTGCCTTCCACCCTCTGCCTCAGTCGACCTGGGTGCTACGTGGCCATCAGCAGTCCCTAAAAGCTCCCCCGAGATGATTCTACCATGTAGTGGAGTGGGAGAGCCACGAGTTGATCACTGAAAACCTGGACAGGGACCGCTTGGGTTCAAATGACCAGCGAAGTGACTCTAGGCCAGCAAGATCTCTCACGCCTGGGCTGCCTGTCGTAGGATGCGGATAACAACCCAATGGAAGGTTGGGGGTTGCGAAGTTAGAGCTGGCACAATGCCTGGCGGAGAGTGTTTCCCAACGGCTGCCTGCTATCTCTCACCATCAACTCTTCCTCCTCTCAACGTCCCCGAGCCATGGGCAGCACTCGACCAACCTTTCCGCTGGACCCAATCTTCCCTGAGTTGCGCTGCGCCTCAGACCCGCCCCCTCCCCCAGGTCGCCAACTACGAGCCGTCCGGCCCCGGTAACTGGCGCAAGGACCAGACCCGGCTAGCGCAGACCCCTCACCGGCCATCGACCCTGCAGCCAAGCCGCCCCCCGCCTCCAAGGACGCCCCCAAAACGAGACGCTGTGCTTCCGAAGGCCGGGCAACTGGAGACGAGAAACAAGCCTCAGTCGTCCCGGGACCGACCGCAGGGAAGGGGAACGGGAAGGGAGGGTTCGGTCGCGACGGGGCCGAAAGCCCGGTTACCTGAGGCGACGGGCGGGGCCCGCATCGCTGGGGCGGGCGCCGCCGCCGCTGCCGGCCGCACTTGGCCTTCCTCCTCACACGACCCGCGCCATAGGGCCTGCGATCTCACTGTCCCGACCAGCCGACCTCAGGCGGTCAGTTCGTCCACCGGTCAGTGACTCTCCCAGGGCGCTCGGGGACGACGAAGGCCAGTAGGGCCGGCCGGCTGGGATCTGCTCAAGCAACTTCCGACTGCTAGGGGCGGCGGCGTCAAATAACTCCCTAGCCGAGCGGGTCAGTGCGCGTGCGCCCTGCGCCTAATCAGCGACTTCCACGGAGCCAAACCGGCAGCGTCAAATAACTCCCGAGCCATGGAGCCGGAAGCTGCGCGTGCGCATCCATCCCAGAGGCCCGCGGGAAGTACACTCCCTCTTCCTTTTCCGGCCCTAGTGCAGCGGGACTAGGGGGGTGTGGGAGAATGAAGTTACGCAGGCACGACGTCACCGCTGTACGGATGACGTTCCAGACTGCTTTCGCGGAGGAGTGAGGGGCTTCTCCGCAACTCCTTGCCCTTTTCCAGGTTCTAGGAATCTCTTACATCCCACCCTGATAGCATGCTTGCTTGGGAATAATACGCATTCACTGCTGCACGCGCTTATTACATGAGCAAGGCCTGAGTTGTGGGTACCACTTCATGCCTGGCCTGGCGTGGGTGACATTGATGATTCAGGCATCAGATTCCGAGGCTCTCGGTAGACACAGGGGATCGGGCATTAACAGTAACAGGAGTGTTAGTCTGGGCACCTGCGATACATCCTACACTTTGTCATTATTTTGGTTTCAACTTCAGTAAAGAAAATAGTGCCATTCAATAGGTGCAACCCTAGGATCTGGAGAGTCCGGAGGGACGGTGGCCTTGACGCTGAATATGGGTATTTGGAAGGAGCCAGGTCCGGGCGCTGTGGGCGGAGCTGTCTGAGAACAGCAGAAAGGAGCTGAGATGGTGGAAGCAGGGGCGACCAGGGAACGAGCTGGTGTCCCTCCAGAGAGGATCAAACATAAAAGTGATTCCTCCAGACCTCAGCCCAGCCCCCAGGAAAGCAGCTACAGGAAGAGGGGATGCAGAGGTGAGTGTAAAGTGTGCTGGGACAGGAACAGGCTACATCCAGGGCATCAACACAATACCTTTGCAGTAGTTGTAGATCAAGTTACCTTTCAACCAGTACAACGAACCCCAAAGGAGGGTCACTCTCTATTGCAGCAGCCTTCCTCTTGGCCTTCTGAGCTAGAGGCTGAAGAGTGAGGCCCACAGTTCCACGCTTCACTGAGTGTGGGGAAGTGGGACAAGGTCCTGACAAAGCAGAAGGGCGGAAGTATCACAGGTGACCTTCCCTTCATGTCAAAATGAAGTCCTTGGAGGAGTATGTGTCCTCACCTTGTGAATCTGTCAAGTGGGACTCCGAGTCGAATGTAGGCCACAAGGACTTGTTGCATGGGATTAGACAACAGGATTTAATATTAGGTGGGGGTTAATGGAAGGAAAATATGAGTCACTCTTTTTTAAAGATTCTTTATTCTTTATGGCTGAAAAAGAAAACGTTTGAGGTTTTCAACTAAATTGACATAAAATGCATGCACATACACCTTGAAGGAAGAATAAAGACTAAAGCATCAAAAAACTGTGCAATGCAAGAGAAAAGCATGTATGTCTTTAATAAACCATAGAGGTACAGGAAGTGCTGTGCTGAGTAAAGCTGCCAGCATCCTCCAAACACAGTCTCAATTTAAACTTGTTCCACAACACAACCTCTAGCCAGAAACAGAACTGGAGAGCATCTTTGGAAACTGTAATGTCGGTGTCAGTCCATACAGTGCACCTGAAAGAGAACAATGGTGTAAGAGTTTGTAACTTTCTGCCTCCAGAAGATCACCACACCAACTCTTATGATCCATCCCACAGTTCTTACAGTGTAACTGACACTCTTGCCCAACATGTGGAGCATTGTCCCTTTTCACTGTCTGTGATGGTTCCAAACAGCTGGAAGGAAGTGGTACTATGTGAGTTCCAGGGTTGGGTCATCAAAAGGAGCCTGCTTCCCCCTGGCTTGCCACATTGCTGCCCACTGGACTCAATTACCCTGTAGGAAGGAAACCCAAGTCACAAAGAGTTCACGTGGAGCTGAGTTTGCATCAATGGTCAGATCCTTGAGTGAGAAAGCCATCAACTAATGCCAGGGTCCAAGCCTTCAGCTGCTGCCCTTCAGCAAGGACAAGTTAATTCTGTTGATACCTGCCCATAGGAAGATTCCAGATTTTAAAAGTGGCACTGCTTCAGGATGAAGCCAGGAGTCAGGAACTTCCTCAAGGTCTCCCTCGTGGGTGCAGGGTTCCAAGGCTTTGGGCCATCCTCGACTGTTCTCCGAGGCCACTGGATGGGAAGTGGAGCAGCTGGGATTAGAACCAGCGCCCATGTGGAATCCTGGCACGTTCAAGATGAGGACCTTAACCACTACGCTATTGCACCAGGCCCAAAGTGAGGATGTAATCACTGAACCATTGTTCCAGGCCCAATGGCAACATTAAAAAAAAAAATTACAAAACTCTTGCCCCATACAAACTAGTGTTGTCTCTAACAGATTTAAATCAAGCAGGTCATAAAACCGGATTTCCTTCAACACCTTTAATGCAGATGAAATTTCACACAGCTAGAATGGAGAAAGATCTCTTTCCTCCTTGTAGAGTCCCATGTCATCTGTTCTGGCCCCTATTTTTGTGGGTTCTGATCCCTCAGGGAGCTGCAAAAATCCTGGAGCTCTGCTAACAGAACCCTTGGGGGACCCCTCGCAGCTCCCATCTGCATCTGGGTAAGAAGCTTCACCAATGGAACATTCTTTTCCACTGAGAAATCATCGTGAAGGCTATACATAGCACACATTTTGATATTTGGCATTTTCATTATCATTCAGGTCAAACATCCTATTCAGTTTGTTTCATTGCTATCCAGACTTTCCATTGTAGTCACATATTGTAGTCTGTATGGTATTGAGGTGTTGGTATTTGAGACTTGCTTTGCAGCTACAGAAGTTACCAGGTTATGTTACAAGTACCAAAGCTTATGGGTAAATATGCAAATACTATTAGTAAGTACTCCAAATGTGCTTTCTCTCTCTCTCTCTCTCTAGACATTTGTCTTCAGAGGACAGAACAAATTGGATAGCTTATCCCAGCGAAGCTTTGAAAGCAAGGTTCCAGGCCAAGTGGAAACTGTAGGGTGGTTGTTAGCTAATGAATCTTGGAAGGATTTCTTCAACCTTGGAGCAATGAAATCAATGATATCTCAGAACTATTGAAACCACTTAAGCAGTACCCTTGGAACATGCTCCACATCAGGGACTCTGGGATGACATCAGGTGGCCATCTCCCATCCCCAGGTACTGATGGTGGTTAGTCCTCTGCCCTACCCCCAGATATAAGGGGAAAAAAATTGGAAACAATTGTCTTACCCACTTTCCCTCATGCCTCGGCCCTTTTGACCCTAATCAGTGGTCCACACGAGTATACATCCTTCTCAACTATGTGAACATCATCAAAAATAAATTTTTATAAAGAAAGAAACTTATTTTTATTTTCCATCAACCTCTCACTTCTGTGTCTGCCTCAGAGACTGAATTAAAGATTAGCTTCTGAGCACTTGGTGGTTGTTCCCACCCATTCAGTGGCCCAAGCTGTGCGAGCTGCAGATCAGTCTTTAGGAGGAAACTGTTGAATGGGCACAGAAGGCACCTGCGCACCTTCATACCAGCCTGCAGCCTCAGGCTGAGTGGCTGTGAACTCAGAAATGGACTTCCATTTACCCTGGAAGTCCTCCTTGGTCACAGACTTTTCAGACTTTTCAGCCTGCTCTTCTTTTTCAACCTCTTCAGACTCTCAGTAAGATAGAGATCAGGCATGACCTCCCGTGGGTGTCCACGGGAAATGGTACCATGCGAACTCACAACCTCCCGGCCAGCATTACCACATCAGACTCATTGGTGGTTCCCATGTTGTTGCATAGAATGGTAATGTCCATGCTCTTCATTCTGAGAGTTAATCTCCCACCAGCTACTTCCCCAGATCCTCTGGTATCAGGTAACCATCTCCTGGTAAGATCATGGCTTTGAAAAACACATTTATTGCAGCCGGCACAGTGGTATGATGGATTAAGCCGCAGCCTCCAGTGCTGGCATCCTTTATGGGTGCCACTTTGAGTCCCAACTGCCCCACTTCTGATCTAGCTCCCTGCTAATCCACTTGTGAAAGCAGTGGAGGATGGCCCAGGTGCTTGAACTACTGGATGGAAATATTTTCTTTCTCTCGCTCTCTTTGTAACTTTGTCTTTAAAATAAATAAATAAATCATTTAAAACAAGATTTATTTATTTGAAACAGTGAGAAAGAAACAGGGGAAATGAGATCTTCCATCCTCTAGTTCACTTCCCAAGCGGTCACAAAACTACTCTGGGCTCTCTATCCCAGGCTCCTACAGGAATGCTGGGGGCCCAAGCACTTAGATCATCTTCTACTACCTTCTAGTTAGTAGGAAACCAGATTGGAAGCAGAGCAGCTGGGACTCATAGAGGATGCCAATGTCACTAGGGGAACCTTGCCACACCACATGCAGGTCCCAACCCAGATGCCATCCTGGGTACTGGGCCACTTCTGTGAGCTTGTCCCAGGTTTCCATAAGCTCTGGGGCCTGGGATAACTGCTGCTTCAAACAAAATAATAGTAAAACGGACACTTGATATGCTGGTGGCTGAACCATGGCTTTTATTCCTGTATATGTTGAGTTCAGAAGTTCAACCCTCAGCCAGCACTGTTGGTTCAGCTGGGTACTATTTTTAAGAAGAGTAGTTAATAGGCAATAATGTGAAGCAGGTGGAAGTGCCAGTGAACTATCCTTCCTGTTCAACAAACATACATCTGACGGCCTAGGGTACTCATGCTGCTTATGAAGTCAGCCTGAAACATCTCTCTCTCTACGCACTCCACCAGCACAAGAAAATTCAGCTGAAGCCCTCCACAGATTTAAGTTCCTTTAGGTCTCTGATCCTTGCTTCTCTTATTTGTAAAAATGGAGGATAAAGAAGTCTACCTCACTGCATTGCTGTGAAGATTAAGTGAGGCAATCATATATAGGGGGCTTAATACAGTGCATGGTGTTTAAAAAACTAAGTCAATGGTAGCCATGATTAACACCAGCCTCACTGCATACAAATTAGCAAACAAGGACAGGACATGGTGTTGTATTATCAGATAAATCTGTCATGATAACATTTTATATTTGTCTTTCCACTGTGAGCATCAACAAGCTATACACGTTCTTCACATAAAAATAACCAACATTTTTTTAAAGATTTATTTTTATTATTTTTTTTTATTGGAAAGGCGGATATACAGAGAGGAGAGACAGAGAGGAAGATCTTCCATCCGATGATTCACTCCCCAAGTGAGCGCAATGGCCGATGCTATGCCGATCCGAAGCCAGGAGCCTCTTCCGGGTCTCCCACGTGGGTGCAGGGTCCCAAAGCTTTGTGCTGTCCTCGACTGCTTTCCCAGGCCACAGGCAGGGAGCTGGAAGGGAAGCGGGGCTGCCGGGATTAGAACCAGCGCCCATATGGGATCCCGGGCGTGCAAGGCGAGGACCTTAACCACTTGCGCCACCACGCCGGGCCCAAAATAACCAACATTTACTGAGCACTCAGCACGACACAGTCCTGTGTTATACGTTTAATATGCATTATCTACTTTAATGCCTGCCGTTTGGGTCAGTGCTATTCACTGATCAAATTAGCTGGAGACAGATTTGGCAAAAGTGAGCATGCCGCAGGGGCTGGCAGGTTAAACCACCCCTTGGCACACACACATCCCATACGGAAGTGCCAAACTGAATCTCACCTTCAGTTCTGATCTAGCTTCCTGCTGATATGCCTGGGAAGCAACAGAAAATGGCTCAAGTACTTGGGTCCCTGCATCCCAAGTGTGAGAAATGGATGAAATTCCTGACTAGTGGGTTTCAGCCTGGCCCAGCCACAAGCTGCTGGAAAGCATCTGGGGAATCAACCAGGGGATGAAAAAGCTCTCTCTCTTTCTGCCTTTCTCTGCCACTCTGCCTTTAAAATAAGAAATAAATCTTAAAAAGAGAGAACATGTTTTAAGTCTCACAGCAATTAAGAAACCTTCAGAATTTGACAAGCCACCTCTAATGCAGAATGAACAGAATCTTCATCTCAGATCAGCCAGCCGACCTGGCCTTGGCAGTAACTCTCGAACAGGCTGCCCCTCCAAGGAATGGGAACCCCAGGCCATTACCCTGAGAGAAAGTATCTCTGTCTCCCGGAGCTTTCTCCCATGAGCTTCGGACCCAAGTCCACATCCCTGGAGTGATAAGGAGGCCACAGACCAGGAGGCCACAGACCTGCCAGCATTTGGTATCCAGTGTTATCTTCCTTTAAGGGGACATCTGTGAGAATACCCCCATCTAATCAGGTATAAGTTGCCCAGTTTTTTTCAGACCAAATTCATCTCAGAAAGGAATTTCAGGGCTCCTGGAGAACCTTAAACAGTGCGGATGTTTGACACGGCAGCTGACACACTGCGTGTGACATCTGCATCTGGTACTGGGAGTGGCTGTATGTAGTCCTGCTGCCACTTGTAATCCCAGCTTCCTGCTGATGCACATCCTGGGAGGCAGCAGGTGATGGCTCAAGTACTTGAGTCCCTTCCACCCACATGGGAGACCTACATCAAGTTCTAGGCTGCTGGTTTTGGCCTGGCCCAGCTAGCTATTGCTGGCAGACAGGAGATCCCTCATTTTCAAATAAGTAAGAATTGAAATAATAGGGGCTGATGCAAGGGCTCAACTGGCTAATCCTCAACCTTGCAGTGCCAGGATCCCATATGAGTACCAGTTTGTGTTCTGGCAGCTTCATTTCCTGTCCAGCTCTATATTTGTGGCCTGGGAAAGCAGTAGAGGACAGCCCAAAGCCTTGGGACTCAGCACCCACGTGGGAGACTGGGGAGAAGCTCCTGACTCCTGGCTTTAAATTGGCCACTGCAGCCATTTGTGGAGTGAACTGGCGGATAGAAGGTCTTTCTCTCTGTTTCTCCTTCTCTGTAAATCTGCCTTACCAATAAAAATTTAAAAACTAACAAAAAGGGCCCGGCAGCGTGGCCTAGCAGCTAAAAAGTCCTCGCCTTGAATGCCGGGATTCCATATGCGCACCGGTTCTAATCCCAGCAACTCCACTTCCCATCCAGCTCCCTGCCTGTGGCCTGGGAAAGCAGTCAAAGACGGCCCAAAGCCTTGGGACCCTGCACCAGCGTGGGAGACCTGAAAGAGGTTCCTGGTTCCCGGCTTCGGATCGGCGAAGTACCGGCCGTTGCGCTCACTTGGGGAGTGAATCATCGGATGGAAGATCTTCCTGTCTGGCTCTCCTCCTCTCTGTATATCTGACTTTGTACTAAAAATAAATAAATTTTTTAAAAAGAAACTAATGGGGCCCGGCGCGGTGGCGCAAGTGGTTAAGGTCCTCGCCTTGCACGCCCGGGATCCCATATGGGCGCCGGTTCTAATCCCGGCAGCCCCGCTTCCCTTCCAGCTCCCTGCCTGTGGCCTGGGAAAGCAGTTGAGGACGGCCCAAAGCTTTGGGACCCTGCACCCATGTGGGAGACCCGGAAGAGGCTCCTGGCTTCGGATCGGCATAGTATCAGCCCGTTGCGGCTCACTTGGGGAGTGAATCATCGGACGGAAGATCTTCCTCTCTGTCTCTCCTCTCTGTATATCCGCCTTTCCAATAAAAAATAATAAAAATAAATCTTTAAAAAAAAAAAAAAAAAAGAAACTAATGAAAAAATAAACAAACATTTTAAGTGTAAAGCAGCTCCCTAGAGGGTAACCAGGCAGGTGTATAACTGGCAGAAACAGCTGGGGCACTTGCTCCTCAGGGCGCGTCCCACTGAAGCTCCCCTTGCCTTGCTGGGGTCCCGTAATGCTGTCTTAACTTGCCCACATGTGTGTCTCCCCAGCAGAACTGTGAGTTCACAGTTACTCCAGCCTCAAAGCCTTATTCAGAGTGCTCGCCCTCCCGTGAATGCCTTCCTGCTGCCCCCTGAAAGGCCTTTCCAGGCCCACAAACTCCCAAAAGCTGCTTGCTTCTCTTGGCAAATTTCAATGAAGACGTACCATCCAACACCGTGCTTCATCTGCACACACATCCCTCTTGACTCCTTCCCCTGCTGAAGCATCTAAACTGTGACACAGATGTAGCGTGGTCTCTGACTGCGAGGGGCCACGCCAGGCCGTCCCCAGGGACTGACTCCCACACTCACTCTCACCCGGCAGCCTGAGAGGCCTGAGCGTGGGGTTGCAGGTGGCGGTGTGTGAAAGCACCAGCATTTGAAAGGGATAGGAGTGGACCCTCCAAACATAGGAAATGGCCTTCAGCACTTCCTCTCCCTGCATTACTGATGACCAAGGCACTGGCAGCCAGGGTCCACGAGAGAACAGAGAGCTCTCAGAAGAGAGGCTCATGCCAGCAGCCCAGAGAACAGGAAAATGAGACATCCACGCACAACAATCCTGACAGTGGTCCTTCTTTCCTGTCCTCCTTGCCATGGGGAACCAAAGCCGCTATGGGCAAAAACCATGAGAAAATACTAGGGCTGGGAATGACAAGAACCACGTGGTGTCAGGGCCAAGTCTCCCTTATCCCTGCTTTGCTGTTCACATGAAGACAACCAGGTTGTGGGGCACTTAATGACAAGACAGTGGCAGACGGGGATTCAAAGTCAGGGACAGGGGTTTCTGGTGGTGAGAGACACCCATGTTCCATCATAGTTTGCTACTGTCCAGAGGGGAGGTGGACCCCAGTGATCTTGTCTGACTTGAGGAGGACTCAGCCTTGGTCCTGAAGCCTTGTGAAGAGCCAGAAGCCACCGTGGGACAGGTAGCGAATCGGCGGACCCAGGAGGTCATCTTCATCTCCCCTTTCATCATCACCTTAGGCCTGGGAACCTGAGCAGGACTGGACTTGATGCAAGAACCACCTCTCTAGAGACAGGGCAGAGATCTTACCTCAAGGAGACTGGAGTCTAGAATGTTCCTGACAGTTCAACTCCCACAATGCCTCTGCATACTGGGGACACATCTGCAACAGACAGAAAGCCTTGAATGAAGAGCAGCTTGTCCCAGCTCACATGCCACAGTAGGCCCCAGGGAAGGGCTCAGCATGAGATAGAGGACAGAAAACACTGCACAGATGAGGGTGTTCACTCTTAATTAAGTTTAATTCTATCAAGCAATGGCCACAATACCTGGGACAAGGCCAGGCAAAAGCCAGGGGCCAGGAGCTTCTTCCAGGTCTCTCACATGGGTGCAGGGGCCAAGCACTTGGGCAATTTTCTGTTGCTTTCCCAGGTACATTAGCAGGGAGTAGGATCAGAGGTGAAGCAGCCAGGACTCAAACAGGTAGCCAAAGGATGTTGGCACTGCAGGCAACAGCTCTATCAGTAATGCCACAACACCAGCCCCGAGAAGTATCTTTTCTGGGGAATAAAAAAAAAGTTTACTTAAAGGGTAGAGAGAAAGAAAAAGAACGAGGGGCCAAAGGAGAGACCTTTCGTCTGTTGGTTCACCACCCATATGGCTATAATAATAGGCAGGGATTGGCCAGGCTGCAGCTAGGAGCCAGGAACTCCAGCAGTGTGGGATCGCGCCACGGTGACAATCATCGAAGGAACACACATAGGCTGGTTCCCAACAGGGGGACCAACAATGGAACACACACATGGCAGCCCCTAACGCTCTGGACACCCAGGGCTTGTGCAGCCTGAGAAGAAGTGTGGGAAGTTCCCAGAGTCGGGAGACAAGGATGTGAGTCCTCCGAACACAGGGTGAGCCCTTCTGCATTTCCTCTGCCTGCACTACCAATGACCAGGACACGGGCAGTCATGGTTACTTACGAATGCAGGGATACAAAAGGCCAGAGGGTTGCTGAGGAAGTCAGCCCATGATCACTTTCAAATACATGGGCAGAACAGCCACAGGGGAAGCTGAGAAGGAAAGCCACAGACACCTTTGCCCGGGGATAGAACAGAACTCGAGGCGATGCCCCGCTGCATAGCCTAGGATCACAGAAGCTGCCCAAGGAGCCCAGGAGCCCATTCACCAACACTGGTTGGAGAGGAAGGGAAGGTGGGCATGTGTGGACAGACTGAGCCAGCCTATGGCACACCACATTAAGTCACAACTTGCCACAATCCACAAAGTACCTGGGAACACAGTGCATTATGGCCCAAGTGCTAGACCCCAGCTGCCACAGTAGAAATCCAGATGAAAGTCCCAGCTCTAGACTTGGGATTGGCCCTAGTACCAGCTGTTATGAACATGTGGGAAGCGAACGAGCAAATGGAAACTCTCTCTGCCTTCCAAATAAAACTTAAATGGTAAGAAAACAAATGTTGTAAATGGCACCAATGCAGACAATCAGGTAGCATTTCAGCTGTCACTGACAACACAAATGAGCAGGTCATAGGAGACAAATGCAGCTTAGATCCAAAACACAGCCCCTTGACCACCCCATTGCTCATAGCCACCCTATGACAGCAGCAGCTTCCGGCAGGGATCTGCAAACTCCGGACCAAGCTCTCAATGCCCCTCTGTGCAGCAGTCCCTTGAGGACACCACAGAACCCAGATCTACCCTGCAGGCTAGCACACCAAGCTGACGACAAAGCAAGCACCCTTCAGCTTTGCTCTCACTTCTCCTGGCCTACACACCTACACACCCCTCCCCTCACAGCTTGCACAAAACTGGTGCACCAGACAAGAGCCACTTACCTGGACTTAACAAGCCACACTTTTCCCGAGGACATCACATCTGCACACCCGCAGCAGCAGGCACACGACACTCCTGCAAGGGATGTGAAGGCAGCATGCGATCAGCTCACGTGGCACTGCTTCCGGCACCTTCAGCAAACCATCTCCTTGATCCACAGAAAACCACTGTGAGAAGCAAGGGCCTGGGAGGCCAAGGCACTGCCACAGGCCCTAGGGCCACATAATCTGAAAGCGACAAAAAGGCCCGAGGGAAATCATGGCTTCCCTGCATCAACAACAAATAGGACACAGGCCTTGATCAAATGACAAAGCACTGTCACTGACTCCTGGCCTCAGCCAGGCTCAGCCCTGCCTATTGGGGTCACTGGGGAAACAGAACAGATAGAAGGTCTTTCCACTGCTCTGCCTTCAAATCCATCAAATTTAACACTGGCAGAGCTCAGAGCACCACTGGGGGAATAGTGGGTGCTCACCAGCCCCACACACCACCTTGCCCCCAAATACTCCCACATGCCCACTGTGCTGGGCCCCGGCACTCAAAACCATGCCTCTTCTTCCTTCCAGTTTCTGCTTTCACTTGTTCCTGAAGGGCTGAACCTGCGGTCTGCTGCACACGCTCCATGGAGTCAGCCAAACACTGCCCTCCAGGGCATAGCATACTAAACCAACAACTGCCATGGGGCACGACTGTGGCACACATTCTTGAGACAGGGACCCACAAAAATTTGGGTCCCACCCCACACTTGGTCATAACCGCACAGGTCCAGCAGCGAGCCCCACAGAGAGAACCCCTAGGCCAGCTGCCAGCAGGCACTGACAAGGTGCTGAGGGACAGGTGTGGGAAAGCTGCAGGGTTTGCAAGGGACGGCACTGGACCCTCCAAACACGGGGAAGCGCTTTCCACAGCTGCTCTCCCTGCACTATCAATGACCAGGGCACGGGCAGCCCATGATCACTTTCGAATACAGGGGCACAAACAGCCACAGGGACAGAGGCCACAGTCAGCAGGTACTGACTGTTCACCCACAAGCCCAGGGCCCAGCGTGCTCCACTGTCCCCACAGACGTCTCACCATGGACTCCCACACTCCACATCAGAGCACCTGGGTTGCAGTCCTCCAGCTTCCTGGGAATGTGTGTCCTCCTGGCAGGCAGCAGGTGACGGCTCCAGCACTGGGTCCCTGGCAGCCCATGGCAGGCCTGCTCTGACTTCCCAGCTCCTGCCTTCAGCTTGGTCTGCTCCTGGTCATTGCACCACTACGGGGGAGTAAACCAGCCAACAGGACACCTCCTCTCTCCACCTGCCTTTCAAAATAAGAAGTATGTCAAAACATTTCAAATTAACTTTTTAGAAAAACTCCATTTGTGCCTCTTACATCCACCAGATTAAATCCACCAAAGAGCAAACACTGCTAAACCCACCGCCTCAGCCAGTCACTGTCCCCTCAAGTCCTGAGGCAATCTAAGTCTGTGCACCCTGGCCTCATACAAGGACACAGCCAGGGCCCTGACCTCAGAGCTCCTGCAGGCTCCCCGCTTTGCAGCAAAGGCACACACAGCTCAAGGAAGGCAGGGGACTTAGCCAAGACCGGACCTCAGCTTCATGCAGTCACCAAAGCCAGCCCCCACCTGCTGCAGTAGACCTCTCCCAGCAGCCCTCTCTGCTGGTGTCATCCCTGGCAGTGACGCCTGCCCGCAAGTACTCCGGAGTAGCACTTACCTGGGTCATCCTAGGTCCTGGACAACAGGAGCCCAGTAGGGAGTGAGTGCCAATATCAAAGGCATGAGGGTAAGAGGGGGTTTTGGCTGTTATAGAACCCATGCCAAGAGCGAGTTTGCATCTGTGCCTGCAGCAACCAAAAGCAGAGCACAGATTAGGCAGTGAAATTTAGCAGGAAACAGGTCTTAGCGCAATGGTAGTTCCTTGACTATTTGCTGTGGTGCCTGAGAACAAGCGTCCCCAGTTGAAATGTTTTTCAACCGCTTTGGAAAACGGAGTTTGTGGTGCTTTTTTTAAAAGCAATGGCAGACAAGCGAGTCAGCGGTCCCGCAGACGTGAGCATTTCATCTGCTACTCTGTAGATAACCCACACTCCGTTTGGGAGTCTTGTCATGTCGTGGCTATAGGATGTCAGGGTGAAAGGGCTCGGGAGTTCAGGATCAGGGACGGAAAGCACACGATTCACAAGAGGTGCATGCCGGCCACGACCCCACGTGCGGGCTGATTTCGGAGTCTCCCGGTGGAAGAGAAGCAGTACCCAGCGTGGTCCCCAGAGGGAAGCCAGCTCAACAGCTTCCTGCAGTGACTCAACCGGATCGACGAGAGCAGAAAGCTGTACGGACTGGCAGGTAGAGCATCACGCAGGACCACACTGCAGCGACGGGAAGCTCCCTGCACCTGCTCGGCGCTGGCGGAAGTGCGTCTGCGGGCTTGGGCTACAGCCTATGGCAGCGCCGCCTAGTGCAGTGGAGCCGCTGAAGTCTTCGCAGCCCCATCGAGCTTTACTCCCGCCAAGGCTGCCTGGCTCCATCCACCTACACATCATTCCATCAGTCCGTGTATCCATCTTCTCATCATTCATCCATCTAGAAAATCTGCTTAAATAGTGCTTCCTATTAAGTATTGGAAAAAGTACTGGAAATGCAGTGCAAAAGACAAATACGATCCGTGATTTTTTTTTTTAAGATTTATTTTATTTGCAGCCAGCATGCTAGCCTAATGGCTAAATTTTCACCTTGCGTCCGCCAGGATCCTATATGAGCGCGATTTGTATTCCTGCTGCTCCACTTCCCATCCAGCTCCCTGCTTGTGGCCTGGGAAACAGTCAAGGATGGCACAAAATCTTGATACCCTGCAACCATATGTGGGACCTGGAAAGGCTCCTGGCTCCTGGCTTCAGACTGGCTCAGCTCTGGCCACTACGGCCACTTGGGGAGTGAACTAGCAGATGGAGGATCTTTCTCTCTGTATCTCCTTCTCTCTGTATATCTGCCTTTCCAATTAAAAATAAATAAATCTTTAAAAATATGTATTTTAGGGCCCGGCGCGGTGGCGCAAGTGGTTAAAGGTCCTCGCCTTGCACGCCCGGGATCCCATATGGGCGCTGGTTCTAGTCCCGGCGGCCCCACTTCCCTTCCAGCTCCCTGCCCGTGGCCCGGGAAGGCAGTCGAGGACGGCCCAAAGCTTTGGGACCCTGCACTCGCGTGGGAGACCCGGAAGAGGCTCCTGGCTTCGGATTGGCATAGTATCAGCCTGTTGCGCTCACTTGGGGAGTGAATCATTGGACAGAAGATCTTCCTCTCTCTCTCTCTCCTCTGTGTATATCCGCCTTTCCAATAAAAAAATAATAAAAATAAATCTAAAAAAAAATATGTATTTTAATTGAAACTGGGGAGTAGGGGGAGATCCTTCATCCACTGGTTCACTCCCCCATAGGTGATGATGTTAATGCATCAAGAATTGTGTATGGCCTAGGATTCACCCTACTTGCAAGCAGACAAGTTAGCCTATTGCTATGTGATGGGCACCGGCAGAGGGCAAGACATTCCTAAGTCATAGTTGAAACCTCTGATGAGTAACTGCAAAAACAGTAGACAGAGTTTCATGTTCTTGTTGGCTCCCCAGGGGAGGGGGTGGGGAGGGCAATGTTCCTGAAGGATGTCTGAACAGTGTGCTACACTGTTAGAAGAACACTGAGCCTGGAGAATTCACAGTTTTTTTTTTTAAAAAAACTAGTATTCATTTTTCTGAAAGGCAGAGACACAGAGAGGGAGAGACGGAGACAGATTTATCCATCTCTATCTTACCCAGCTCATCTATCACTCACCCAAATACACCCCAGCAGCCAGGGCTGGACCAGGCTGAAGCTAGGAGCTCGATTTCAGTCCAGGTCTCCCACAGAGATGGCAGGGGTCCCACAGAGAGACAGCTCGGACCATCACTTGCTGCCTCCCAGGGTGTGCATTAGCAGGAAGCTGGAATTGCCAGTGAAGCCAAGACTCAAACCAAGGCACCTGGAAGCAGGCTGCAGGTGCACCAAGAGGGGTTCTAACCACTGCACCGCAGGACTCACCATTTTCATGGCAAAAGGAATGAACTGGATTTTAGTCTGTGAGGACTCTTCACTTCATCTTCCAGGGTTGGCACAAGCACAACCTCAGCACCAGCCTAGGTGAAGGGCAGGCAGTCGGGGCCTTCTGTTCTTTTATCATCCAGTAAGAGGGCACATGGACACTCTCGTCTGGTCCCAGGCTGTCTCTCCCAAAAGTACGCCTTGAGTCACAATCCAAACCCAGGCAGCAGTTTAACAGCATGCTCAGAAACACATCTAATAATATTTACCTTCTGTTGCTGACAAGAAAAGTTTGCTTGAACTAGAAAACTATGTTCATTATGTGATGCAGATCATCACTAACCAACACTACAGTCAAAGCTTCACAGACAACAGACCGTCTAATATCACATCAATCTGGAAATTAAGTCATTTTGATTCAGCCTTCCTCTGTAATCTTCAGAACAGAACACTGATACAGATGGGATCTTTGTGTCCCTTCCCAAATTTACTTTTTTAAAAAGATTTATTTATTTTATTGGAAAGACATGTTTATAGATAGGAGAGACAGAAAGATCTTTCATCCTCTAGTTCACTCCAGCAACAGCTAGAGCTTAGTCAATCCAAAGCAACGAGCTTCTTCCAGGTCTCATACACAGGTACAAGGTCTCAAGGCTTTAGGCCATTCTCCATTGCTTTTCCAGGCCACAGGTGGGGAGTTGGATGGGAAGTGGAGCAGCTGGGACATGAACTGGTGCCCACATGGGATGCTGGCATTTGCAATGTGGAGGATTAGCCAATCAAGTCATTGTGCCAGGCCCCTTCACCAAATTCCTAATATCCAATTTAATGGTACCCGAAGGAGAGGTCTTTGAGAGGTAATCAGATTTCACGAACCACATTGATGCCCTTATAAAGAGGAGGCTAGAAAACTCCCTTAGCACTTATCTGTGTGAGACACATGGCCAAGCTTGCTTTTGAAAGTGGCCATGGCATCCAGAGTCTTGATCTCTTTTTAGAGATGTGTGTGTGTGTGTGTGTGTGTGTGTGTGTCTGTGTGTTATTGATTCCAGAAACTGATTTACTCCCCAAATGTTTACAACATCCAGGGTGAGGCTGGGCTGAAATTGTGAGCTGGGAACTCAAGTCTACGTCTTCCATGTGGGTGGCAGACTCCACTGGCTGAGCCTTCCCCACTGAGCAGCAGGAAGTTGGAATGTGGTGCCAAGTCACAACCTGACTCCATACACTCTGCATGGGATGCAAGCCAGACACCCATTCCCAGAGTCTTGTGTTTTCATGCTGCAGGCGAAAGAACTGCAGAGGTGCATTCTGTGTTTAAGCTTTGGTGTTTTTCGCATACTTGACTTTTCTGCCAACCCTGCCAGGCCTCTGGCGCATCATGAATGGCTTTGTCACTTGGACATTATGAGTTTGGTTTGTCAGTAAAACCCAGGTTGTGTGCATCAAGGGCTCTGCTCTCCCCAAGTCAGGGTTAAGTGCTGTTGAGGGATGCCTGAGGCTCATACTGGTTGAGAGAGGTGATGGTCCATGAATCAGAATTGTCATTAACAGCAGTGCATGAGGAAGTACATCCATGGGCATGCCAAATCCAAACAGCTTCTTGGAGGTGGTGACTTGCAGAGATTTTTGTGGGATCAAAACATGAAGGGCGATGGGAATAAGTTCAGGGTAAAGGAAGGTTTTGTAACTGAATGGGAGAGGGGAGAAGGTATATGTGAAAAGTGGAGAAGTTTGGTACTGAATGGAGAAACATTTCCATTGCATTGCCTGTTACAGAGGTCTTTAAATGTTGGTACAAGAAAGAGAAATGGTCATAGTGGCTATGGGAGAAGGGCTCACTGCTTCTAATGTGCAAAAAAAGTCCTCGTAGCCCAGTCTCTCCTTGGTTTCCAAGGATTAAAAAAAAAGCAAAGGAATTCTTGACCCAAATGAAATTAACAAAATAACAAGAACAGAGAGTGAAAAGGTAGGAGATGAGCATAAGCCTCATTTATGAAGCTGATGTTCCACCTACTGCCCTAAGGAAACACTCTGGCATAGCATAGTCAGTTCAGACCAACACAGCCAGAGAGTTTTGTGAATGAGAAAAGGGACATGGCACTATCAGAATGAAAATATGAAGAGCCACATTTGATTTTCTGTTAATTTCCAGATAGATAGATAGATGATGATAGATTTGAGAGGTATAGAGATGGAAAGAAAGCTTCTATTATTGGTTTAGCTTTTAAATGTCTACAATGACCACAGCTAGGCTAGGCTAAAGCTGGAACCAGGAACACAAGCTGTGAATAGCAGGAACCCAATTACTTAAGATGTCTCTGCTGCTTCCCACAGTCTGTTAGCAGGAAACCAGACTGAAGAGCCAGAGTTGAGAATAAAATCCAGACACTATAACATGGGGTGTGAGCATTCTACCTTATAGGCTAAATGCCTTCCCATAAAATCTTATATAATTTTTTAATTTTCCTTGAAAAGACAGATTTACAGAGAGAAGGAGACACAGAAATAAAGATATTCCATCTGTTAATTAAACTCCCCAAATGGCAACAAATGCCAAAGCTTTCTCTGAATCTCCCTAGGTACAGGTACAGGATCCTTAGGCTTTAGGCCATCTTCTGCTGCTTTCCCAAACTACAAGCAGGGAGCTGGATGGGAAATGGAGCAGCTGGGACATGAACTGGAGCCCATATGGGATCCTGGCACTTGCAATGTGAGCATTTAGTCACTGAGTCATCGCATTGGACCCTGCCCATACTATTTTACAGGTAGGTAACAGGAACATAGTCCTAGAGTATATTTAATAAAATTATCTTAAAGAAAACTAGAAAGCCAGAAAACTCCTACAGTATTAAATATGGAATCCAATTTTAACCTTTCCACAAAAAAAAAAAAAACATGTGTTTTCTCCAAAGCTTTGGAAAAAAAAGAGCAATTATTTCTGCATTGTGACAAAGACTCAGGGAGTATAATTTGGGTCATGACCCTAATAGCCATAACCCAAATTATGCAAGGTCACAGAGGTGCATCCAATCATACATGTAGACTGAACACCCTGAGCAAGGACTAGTAAAGTTCAGGTGGAGACTGCTTGGCCCCACTGCCTGTGAAGACATGCTGTCGATGACTGCCCAGCAAATGCCATCTCACCCCACTGCCGGGAGTGAGCAGAAATGGAAATCGGTGGAGACAGCTGAAAGCAGGGAACAGCTCAGCTGCAACCCCCTGCAAACTTCCTGATCCCTGCAATCTTTGTTACCATAGCTGCAGTAACACTCACCCCTTCCCTGGCTTTGCAAGGCCCTCCTGGGGAGCTCACCCTGGAAAGTGCCATGATCTAGGGGAGCATCCAGAGCAACAGAGACCACGGTGGGGTGTGACCTGAATACATCCAGCAGCTTCTTCATTCCATCTGCCCTGGAGACAAGGGACTCCAGGAGCTGGGTGACACCTCCTGGATATCGCAGAGCAAGCAGATGCAGACATGTTGGCTCAGAATGAGACGTTGAGAGTTGAGAGCTGGAACCTGAAAGGCCATGGGTTTAGGGCTGCCTTCTCACAGAGGCCCTGTTGCTGATTGGCTCTTGTCTTCCCCTGAGGGTCCCCTGTCCCAGTTGTCATCATCTTTGCTGCATGAAGCCTGAGTGGGGAACACTCACTCTCACAGACAGTCTCACAGGCCTTTTATTAGAAGGTGTAATACAGGGGCACTCTGCTGCACCACAAGGGGCTCCCTGGGAAAATGCCTTCTTTCTCCAAAGTCGAGTGTTTCCTCGGGCATCTACTTAGTCTGGGATCTCTGGTTTGATGTAATTCACACTCCCACTGGCTGTACAGTGCGCTACCTGTACACCTGCAGATGGCAGTCTATGGGGTAGCTCAGGAAGAACTTCCATCAGGCCTTGCAGGCACCTCAGTCTATTGCTGCCGAAACACGCAGTAACAGAGGAGCAATAGGAAGATGAGGAGGGCGATGGATGAAAACAGCAAAACGGTCAGCATGGTGGTGGGGCTGCAACGCCTGCAGGTCTCTGGTGTTCAGCAGCTGACTTCCGGCTTAGACTCAGGTGCCACCCTCCCCTGTGGGAATCTGTGCAGCCAGCCACTCAGGTGGGGCCTGAGGCCATAGGGATCTCTTCCACCACTATGATGTCACAGATTCCCAGGTAGCAGAACACTGTCCGCCCAGTGCCAACCCAGCCCAGTGGTAATGCAATCACTAGGTTGCAGGTAGGACTTGGGGCATAGTGGGGAATGCAGCCACCTGCAGTGCCAGCATCCCACATGGATGCCTGTTCCAGTATGAGCTGCTCCACTTCCCATCCAGCTCACCTTTAATACATCTGGGGAAGCAATGGAGGATGGTTCCTGCACCCACATGTGGGCCCTGGAAGAAATGGAGGCTCCTGCCTTCAAATCGGCTCAGCTCTGGCTGTTGCAGCCATTTGGGAAGTGGACCAGTAGATGGAAAATCTTTCTATGTCTCTCTCTTTGTCAATGTAATTCTGTCTTTCAAATAAATAGATACTTTTTAAAAAAGATTTATTTATGTTTATTACAAAGTCAAATATACTGAGAGGAGGAGAGACAGAGAGGAAGATCTTCCATCTGATGATTCATTCACTCCCCAAGTGACCGCAACAGTGGTTACTTCGCCGATCCGAAGCCTGGAACCAGGAACCTCTTCCAGGTCTCCCACGCAGGTACAGGGTCCCAAAGCTTTGGGCCGTCCTCGACTGCTTTCTCAGGCCACTGGTTGGGAAGTGGAGCTGCTGGGACTAGAACCGGTGCCCATATGGGATCCTGACGCGTTCAAGGCGAGGACTTTAGCAGCTAGGTCATGCCGCTGGGCCCCAATAAATACATTTTTAAAGGAAATCTTCAGTCACCAAAAATGGAAAACCCGGTTTCCATTCGACTATTTAAAATGCTGTCCCATGCATAACTCACACTTTCTCGGATCATCATCTGTGGGTAAGACTTCTCTCTTCTCCCTCAGCTGGGGCCAAGCGCGTGGAAAGCTGCCGTCTCCTGGGAAGACACAGGCCTTTCCTACTGGGGTTTTCTGTCCACTCAGTCCCCAAACCTCCAAAAGATCAAAACGGTACCAAGAAGCTGGAGGGGAGGGTTCTCTATCGTGGGGACTGTTGCAAGAAGCCCAGGCTCTGTTACAAAAGAAAAAAAGAAGAAAAAAAAAAAAAAAGAAAGGAAAGAAAATTGTTCGAAAAACAGATAGAGGGAGAGCCCTCTTTCATTTGGCTTGCTTCTCAAAAGGCTGCAATGGCCGGGGCTGAGGCTGAAGCCAGGAAAGCCTGGAAATCCATCCTGATCTATCTTGTGGGTTGCAGGAAAGGATACTTGGAAAATTCCATAGTACTTTGACGTGAATCCTAGCCTGGCAATCAGAAATTAAGCTCCTCCAGGCCAGGGGGAGCTGCAGGGAAGCTGGCGCGAGTTGCTATCCGCGGAAGTGCCGCTCTGGGCCGCAGCTTGCGCTTTCAGCTGTACTTCCGCTCGCGCTGGGCCGCGTTAGTGCTTTCTGGGCAGGTGGAGTACCTCCATCACAGTTGCTCGCCATCTCCCGGAATCCGCGGACATCGGGCATGCACCTGCGCTGTGCTCCCCCGCGTCCGTCGCGGACGGTGAAGGGACGCTGAGGTGAGCACTGTGGGTGACTTGGCGCGTCTCTGTCGTCTCGGGTAACCAGTGGGGCGCGCGGGTCTGCCTGTTGGAGTGAGCGTCCAGGCCGGGCCGTGGCCCGTGTGACCCTCGTGGATGACTGAAAACTTCCTAGGGAGAGGTGGTGGGGCGAGCATGACTGAGCGCCCGAGCAGGCAGGAACCCCTGACGTCTGCACAGCAGCTAGGGCGCGCCTTCCAGAAACCAAGGAGTGGGGCAGTAGCTTACGCCACTGCTGGTCGTGGGTTTTCCTTCAGATAGCTCTGAGTGAAAGCAAGTGGGAGAAATCCCCATTTTGCAAGCTGGATGAGTTCCCAGGGCATGGGATGAGCAGTGTGGATCGTGTCCTGTCGTTAATGCTTCGTCCCCTTGCTTTTCCAAAGGGACCTCAGAATTCCAGCTATCTGCCACGTGGGTCCATCACACCTACATCCGCCCTGCCGATCCCTTCCCTGAGCGAGACGACTCCTCACCAGAATGGAAGGCTGTCGGAGACGACAACAACCCCCTCAGACAGTGAATATGACTGTACTTCTCACTCTCATTGCAACTGTAAGTTTGACCCAGGTAACGCCGAACCCACATTGGCCATACAGATGGGAATTGAGACGATGGGCGGATGGCACAGTTGTAACCGCCTTCAAGGGGCCCCTGGGAGGAGAGCCTCCTCACTGTATAATCACCTTATGTTCCCTCGTCACCGGCTCGCCCTGTGAGTGTGCACCCCAGCGTGTGTTGAGGAACGCTGCAGATTTCTACATGTGTCCAGCTCAGGGACCTTCTTACTGTAACCGACCTGACCACCACTATTGTGGATATTGGGGTTGCGAAAGGGTGGCAACTGCCTGGCAGCCGCTCCAGGTGGATGCTGACATAGCTGTTGGCTGGTGGCCCCCAGGATGTACAGCGTTGGAGGGCGGCCGATATCCGGCACGAGGAAAGGGAAAACCCTGTCCCGCGAAACCACATGTGACTTGTGTAGACTTGTGTGGACGCATAAGGATAAATATAACCAATCCAAAGGACCCAAAATGGGATTATGGAAAATCATGGGGAATGCTTTATTATGAGGAAGGGACAGACCAGGGAGGCGGAATCATAATCCAAAGGTACCTGGAAAAAGACTCGCCCACTCCCATGGGCCCAGATCGGGTGTTAGCTCCCGCTTCTGGACAAAAATCGACTCAAGCTACGCTGAGTGTCTACCCAGAACTACTGACGCTGCTGATACTGACCGTGAGCCGGGAGGGTTAGATCTTGTATTCCTCCAGCAAGGAGGCTTATGCACAGACTGGGAGAAGGATGCTGTTGCCAAGTTGATTGTTCAGGAGTAGCAAGGAATCGCTAGCAAAGGTACTGGAAGGTCTAGCCAAAAGGAGGTGAGAGTGAGAACAGGCAGAGGGGTGGTTTGAATCTTGGTTTAACACATCCCTCTGGCTTACTACCTAAATTTCCACCTTAATGGATACTAATGTTAACCTTTCGGCCTTGCATCATTAGTAGATTACTTACTTTTATTAAGGAATGCGTTAGTACAGTACAATTGGTGGTTCTGAGATCCCGATTCTGTCCTTGTTCTGAGGCTTATTTGGATATGGAGATCCAGGAGCCATGATTGGCTCCCAGAGTTACTAGCAAGAGGAGGGAATGAGAGACCTTGGAATTCCAACCGTCTGCTTCGCCTAATCTGAAGCTGCACAAGTTTTGTTTTTGGAAATTGCAGCGAGGTCCCCTAGTTGCCTCATAGAGATGAGAATTGTTTGCTTTACAACATGCCATCTGGGCTTCACCAGCCAATTTGCGCTATTTGAAACTTGCTTGCTTTGCCAATAGAAACCTGCCAGCTTGCGCTTTTTGAATGATTAGTCAATCATGAGTGTAGCTGTGTAGTTTTAAAAGTTAAACAATCATAAGTCTCAACCCAGAGCCACTGCCACAGTGACGTTTGAGGCCCAAGCTTGGACTTGAATAAATGGCCCTTGTGCGCTTACATCGATGTCAGACTCCTGGTGATTGATATGGGGAACTCAAGATCTGAGCATAAGAGCAGCAGATGTGACTCAGAAGAGATCTGGGCACAGCCTTCTCTGCCTAGGCCTGGAGGCTCTACGGCTCACTGTTGGACTACCATGCGAGTTCCATATCAGACAGTAACTGCTACAACCCGTGTCCACATGCTGCTGAGCTACCCAGGGTGACGCAGGTAAGTGCTGCGCAAGAGTACCTTGCAGGCAGGCGTCACTGCCAGGGATGACACCAGCAGAGGGGGCTGCTGGGAGAGGTCTACTGCAGCAGGTGGGGGCTGGCTTTGGTGACTGCATGAAGCTGAGGTCCGGTCTTGGCTAAGTCCCCTGCCTTCCTTGAGCTGTGTGTGCCTTTGCTGCAAAGTGGGGAGCCTGCAGGAGCTCTGAGGTCAGGGCCCTGGCTGTGTCCCTGTATGAGGCCAGGGTGCACAGACTTAGATTGCCTCAGGACTTGAGGGGACAGTGACTGGCTGAGGCGGTGGGTTTAGCAGTGTTTGCTCTTTGGTGGATTTAATCTGGTGGATGTAAGAGGCACAAATGGAGTTTTTCTAAAAAGTTAATTTGAAATGTTTTGACATACTTCTTATTTTGAAAGGCAGGTGGAGAGAGGAGGTGTCCTGTTGGCTGGTTTACTCCCCCGTAGTGGTGCAATGGCCAGGAGCGGACCAAGCTGAAGGCAGGAGCTGGGGAGTCAGAGCAGGCCTGCCATGGGCTGCCAGGGATCCAGTGCTGGAGCCGTCACCTGATGCCTGCCAGGAGGACACACATTCCCAGGAAGCTGGAGGACTGCAACCCAGGTGCTCTGATGTGGAGTGTGGGAGTCCATGGTGAGACGTCTGTGGGGACAGTGGAGCATGCTGGGCCCTGGGCTTGTGGGTGAACAGTCAGTACCTGCTGACTGTGGCCTCTGTCCCTGTGTCTGTTTGTGCCCCTGTATTCGAAAGTGATCGTGGGCTGCCCGTGCCCTGGTCATTGATAGTGCAGGGAGAGCAGCTGTGGAAAGCGCTTCCCCGTGTTTGGAGGGTCCAGTGCCGTCCCTTGCAAACCCTGCAGCTTTCCCACACCTGTCCCTCAGCACCTTGTCAGTGCTTGCTGGCAGCTGGCCTAGGGGTTCTCTCTGCGGGGCTCGCTGCTGGACCTGTGCGGTTATGACCAAGTGTGGGGTGGGACCCAAATTTTTGTGGGTCCCTGTCTCAAGAATGTGTGCCACAGTCGTGCCCCATGGCAGTTGTTGGTTTAGTATGCTATGCCCTGGAGGGCAGTGTTTGGCTGACTCCATGGAGCGTGTGCAGCAGACCGCAGGTTCAGCCCTTCAGGAACAAGTGAAAGCAGAAACTGGAAGGAAGAAGAGGCATGGTTTTGAGGGCCGGGGCCCAGCACAGTGGGCATGTGGGAGTATGTGGGGGCAAGGTGGTGTGTGGGGCTGGTGAGCACCCACTATTCCCCCAGTGGTGCTCTGAGCTCTGCCAGTGTTAAATTTGATGGATTTGAAGGCAGAGCAGTGGAAAGACCTTCTATCTGTTCTGTTTCCCCAGTGACCCCAATAGGCAGGGCTGAGCCTGGCTGAGGCCAGGAGTCAGTGACAGTGCTTTGTCATTTGATCAAGGCCTGTGTCCTATTTGTTGTTGATGCAGGGAAGCCATGATTTCCCTTGGGCCTTTTTGTCGCTTTCAGATTATGTGGCCCTAGGGCCTGTGGCAGTGCCTTGGCCTCCCAGGCCCTTGCTTCTCACAGTGGTTTTCTGTGGATCAAGGAGATGGTTTGCTGAAGGTGCCGGAAGCAGTGCCACGTGAGCTGATCGCATGCTGCCTTCACATCCCTTGCAGGAGTGTCGTGTGCCTGCTGCTGCGGGTGTGCAGATGTGATGTCCTCGGGAAAAGTGTGGCTTGTTAAGTCCAGGTAAGTGGCTCTTGTCTGGTGCACCAGTTCTGTGCAAGCTGTGAGGGGAGGGGTGTGTAGGTGTGTAGGCCAGGAGAAGTGAGAGCAAAGCTGAAGGGTGCTTGCTTTGTCCTCAGCTTGGTGTGCTAGCCTGCAGGGTAGATCTGGGTTCTGTGGTGTCCTCAAGGGACTGCTGCACAGAGGGGCATTGAGAGCTTGGTCCGGAGTTTGCAGACCTCTGCATTTGTCTCCTGTCACCTGCTGATTGGTGTCCTGTGAGTGACGTTTGGAGTGCTGCATAATTGTTTAATTGGTGCCACTCAGAACTTGCCTTTCTTTACTTGTGAATTATATGGATCTCCTTTTTGGGTAGCAGGCATCCAAGGATTTGGGGAGTAATGAGTTGTGTTCCCAGATGCATTAGCCACATTATGCCAAGGGTGATCTAATCTGCTGTGTTCTGTCTGGCTAAGTTTGCCTTCCCTTCCTGTCGTAGGGGGGTGGTGAGTGTCTCCCCGCAGATCCCAAGCAGTTTCTGTGATCCCTGGCTATGCAGCAGGGCAGTAATTTCTGTGCTATTCTGTCCCCGGTCAGTGCCAGAAGGCTGGCTATGGCTTCCCTTCTCTTCCTCGCTGTGGCTGTTTGTGCCCCTGTATTCGAAAGTGATCGTGGGCTGCCCGTGCCCTGGTCATTGATAGTGCAGGGAGAGCAGCTGTGGAAAGCGCTTCCCCGTGTTTGGAGGGTCCAGTGCCGTCCCTTGCAAACCCTGCAGCTTTCCCACATCTCTTCGCCTGGCTTTGTTTTCTTGCTGGCAGCTGCCCCGATTGCCGCAGGTTCCTTGGAAACTCACGGGACAGTGTCATCCCAGGGTTTCTACTGGGAACTGTCCCTGCTTCTCTGTGACATTACTCTCCTTGTATCTTTCCTGTGCTGGGAGGGGTGTATTTGCTCAGCAGGGTGAAGTAGAGACCTGCTAGGGGCCTATGGGCTTGTCTCAGGCCACCCCAGGTGTCCAGACTCACAGCATTTCCCATTTTCTTTTCCCAATGAAAGCTGTTTCTCTGAGGATTAGGCTTATTGTGACCTCATCTGTGGCTTGTGGAGAATTCTTGTCCACTGGAGTGGGGGGTTCTATGGCCATAGGTCATGATGATAGGCGCTTGTGCAGCCACTGAGGTGGACAAAGTAAAGTACAGTAGGGTGTTCTGCTAGCTGCTGTGTCAAGTGCTGCGTGTTCACTTTCAGGCGAATCTAAGGTCAGTGACTGGGCACGAGTCTGCATCACTGTGCCAGGCAGCTACACCATGGGTGCTGAGGTGAGTCTTGGGTTGTTCTCCCAGTATTTTCTTCTGTTTCTCATGTAATCCTATGTATGTTCTCTGAAGTTTGGCTGACGATGGGAAGGGAAGCATAAGGTACTTGGCAGCCTGTGAGGTCCCTGTTGTGCCCTCTGTGGGGCAGTCTCGGGCAGCTCAGTCAAGCAGCAACTTACAGGAATTTGTAGTTGGGTCCTGAGAGTTCCCTGTGGCAGTTTCTGGACACTGGTGTGTTAGCAGTGTCCTGGGATAAGTGTGGATTCAGGTACCACAGGACCCACCTTTAAACATGGATGGCTGTAACCTGCTTTAGACCTTCAACACTTGATATATTGCATGTGTGTTTCTGTGTACATGCATGTGGCCAGATGTGGCAGCTGCAAGTGCTGTGCTCCTGCATCCGGAAAGTGATCAAGGCTGCCTGTGCCTTGGTCATTGGTAGTGCAGGGAAAGGAATGTGAAAGACATTCCCCGTGTTTGGGGGGGGACTCCCATCCCCTCCAAACCCTAGAGCTTTCCCACACACTCGCCCTTCTTCCACTAGGCCTTTGCTGGTCCCTGTGTGCTATGGTTAACTCCTCAGCTGGTAGGGGTACATACTGTGTTCTGTGCATTTCATGCTGGAATTTATCTCTGTGCTGACATAACTCCCAGTAGCATTGAAGGCAGGGAAATCCAGGAGAAACCACACAGAACGAACGTTTTAGAGTAGTCGGAGGTCATCCTAGGCATGGCTTGGGTGTTACTCCCTGATAAAGTGGACTACCCTGGACCGTACCTATAAAAGTCATTAGCTGTTTCTAATGACTGCACAAGCCTTATAGGTGGACTTAATTGCCCAGGGGCAGCTCCACAATGAGTTACTTTGTGTTCTCAGCTTCTCCAAGTCTTGGGACCATTTGAGTTTATTCAGCATGCTTAAGATTGTCTGAACCCGGGCCCGGCGCGGTGGCCCAGCAACTAAAGTCTTTGCCTTGAATGCTCTGGGAACCCATATAGGTGCTGGTTCTAATCCCGGCAGCCCCACTTCCCATCCAGCTTCCTGTTGTGAGCTGGGAAAGCAGTCATAGATGACAATTCCCAGCTCTCAGTCCAGTGTTCTTTGCTTATACGGTTTGAAGTACATCAGAGTGTCAGTAAGTATTGTAAAGCATGAGTTCCATTTTTTGAGAGTGGAGGGGAGCCCAGTGGTTGTGAGATCTCCTGTGACTGGCATGCTTGGTGTCCCTGCTGCTGTGCCCTTTCCTGAGTGACATAGTGTGCATTGCTTTTCTTGAGAATGTTGATCAAGACACAGAGAAGGAAAGCCAGGAGAGGCTGTCTGGGAAGGGGAGCTCTGTAACTGAACCTTGAGAAATGCTTGTGTTTTGCATGCATTAGCAGCTCAAGCATTGCCTTAGTGTGTCAGCTCAAGCTTGGGCCTGGTTGGCTGGGGCCTTCCCAGTGATGTCAGCGGGGATGGAGTGTAGGAGTCAGTGGGTAAAGTCTTGTCTTCTTTCTAACCCTTCCAGGTGTCAGCCTTGGAGCCATACTGTTGGAGGAAGTCCCTGGCTGTGGAGTCTGTGTCCTTGGGGTGCCCAAATTTCTGATTTCACTATGGTGAATTGATGCCAAGTGCTGGGACCCCATAGCCTGTGGCTAAGCCAGTTCACATTGATGCAGGTGGAAACCCCAAAGGATTAGTCTTTCACTGGTCCTTTGTTTTACATCTCTTGGTGGTGTTTGTGGATAACTGAGGGACAGATGAACAGAGGCCAACACAAGAAATATCACCAGAGTTGCTACTTGCTGCCGGCTCAGTGCTGCCTGAAACTGTTGTTTGCATGAGAATCGTCTCCAGACCTAGAGCAAGAGATTCCTGGGCCAGATCATGGGTTCACTCAGGCTCTTCCTGTTGGGTACACACACTGCGACTTAGAAAGGGAAATGGGACATTGATTTGTGTGTTTCAGGACTGGGACGTGAACAGTTGCTACTTGGTTTATGTTTATGGCAAAGAGAGTGTGTCCCTCAGCTGGGAGCCCAGAACACAACTCAAGTCACCCATGTGGGTGGCAGGAAGCTAACTGCTTAAGCCATCACCACTGCATCCCAGGGACTCGTTAGCGGGAAACTGGAACCAACAACCAGAGCCTGGGATCCAAACCAGGCAGTGTTGCAGAACCCCGGAACTCAAAATCTGCTCACAGGATCCCAGGAGGTGCTTGCAAGGCATGAAGCAAGAGCTGGGCAACCACTGCCCAACTCCCAGGCTAGCTCCAGGGAGAGGGGGTGAAGGTTCTTCAAAATGAAGTTGGGGTTCAGAAGTATGCATTCAACTCCAACGTAGGTTTTTTGTTTTTACTTTTGTTGTTGTTGTTACTGTCCTTAATGACACTGCAATAAAGTCGCAGGGTTGATGTTTTTGTAAATTGAGACTTGGTTGCCAACCTGGAATGTGAAAAGCCTTTGTCACTGTTTTCTCAGAGCATGAGGAAAAAGCACGAGTGCCTCTCTCACTTGAGGGAAGATTTCCAGCTGTCTGTTAACCATTCATTGCATTATGCAAATCAAATTAAAATTTTTTTTTCTAAATTTTTACTAAAAATTCACCAATACCCCAGAAGTAGAGTGATACCATTTCTAATAAAATCTCTCTTGGGCCACCTATTGCATCTATGGTGCACAAGGCCAACCCTCCCAACAATTGTGATGGAATATTTTTGTTTGTGTTTTTAAAAATTTATTTTTATTGGAAAATCAGTTTTACAGAGGAGAGACAGAAAGATCTTCCATCTACTGGTTCACTCCCCAAGTTGGCTGCAACGGCTGGAACTGAGCCAATCCAAAGCCTGGCGCCAGGAGCTTGTTCTGAGTCTCCCACATGGGTGTAGGGTCCTAAGGCTTTGAGCCATCCTCTACTGCTTTCCCAGGCCACAAGCAGGGAGTTGAATGGGAAGTGGAGCAGCTGGGACACAAATTGCTGCTCATAAGGGACCCTGGTGCGTGCAAGGCAAAGTCTTTAGCTACTAGGTTTTGTGGCATATACTCTGTTCTTGGTGAGCTGTTGTTTTAGACCAGCGGCTGGATTATATGGTATGGTGGTCCAGAGGTCAAATCAGGCCCACTGCACATTTGTAAAAAGTTTTATTGGAGCACAGCCATGCTCAACTCATTTATTGCCTAATGGCTGTTTGTTACTGCCATAGCAAGAGGTGAGTCTACATGGACCTAAAATATGTACCATCTTGTCCTTTATAGAAAAGCCATCTGGGCTTGTGGTTTTGACTGTAAGCTTGAGGAAGGCAGAGACAATGTGTTTCCCCGTTCTCTCTTTGAGCCCATGCAACTGCCTCAGCATCATGCCCAGAGACAAATCAGTAGAGGAAGATAAGGGTAGTGCCATCTAGAGACTGGTCTTGCTCCATCAATATTACCTACTCGCTGGCAAGATGAGCCTTTGCACGCATTTCCGTCTGGGTCTTGTTCCCTTGACCATGATATCAAATTATTTGTACGACTAGGCTGTTCTATGTGTTTAATGTTGAATAGGATGGGCTGCGTGGGGATTGACCAGTGCTCACACAATTTCCTTCGTGGAAGTTGATTCTAGAGGCAGATGAGGCCTGAACCAAGCTGAGCTCAGGTACAAAGAGAATGCAGGGATATGGAAAGGAGAAGGAGGACAACAATGTGGAAGGTGTCCCATGGTCGTCAGGTCTGTCTTCTGTTGTCATTAGTTCTTTGTTGACCTTGTCCATGGGAGAAGAGGCGGATTGGCCTCAGCCGGCAAGGTCAGAGGCAGGTCCGGCTTAGTATCATCCATGCCTGTGGCCTAATCAATGTTGGCTGCTAAGAGCAAGAAGTTCTAGAGAGAAGGTAAAAAGAAGAGACAACAATCATTTGCTGACCCATGCAGGAGCTCCTGTGAGAGGATCCTTGACCTGGAGAGTCTGATTCTCCCTGGAGCAGAAACCCAATTCTGCAGAAACCAAGCCTTTTCCCTTGCAGGCACTTAGCCTATCAGCTGCCAGCCCCAGGAATTCATCTGAATTCTCCGAGCTACTGATACCCACACATGTCACTTTTTCTCTAATATGTTATTCTTGTGGGAGAACTGAGGCACCCTTGGGTGCTGCCTGGGTCTACTCCCCTCACAATAGATTGAGGACATTGTATGGGGTTACCTTGGGGTAAGAATACACTGTGGACAGGGAGGGTATTGGCAAACGAGAACTCCAGGATTTACATCAGGAAGTCTATTCTTACTGTCTCTGCCCTCTGGCCCCAGCTGAGTTCCTTCCTCTGTCCATTTTTCTCCAAGATCATCCCTTGCTGCTGTGGGTGGGAGGGCTGGCCAGGGACCCACTGCTGAAGATTCTAAGTTTGTTTGTGGCCACATCATTCCAGAAGTAGGACATCTCCTCTGGCCCTCTGCACCCCCACCTGCAGTGAAGGCAATTGCCTCTCAAATGCCCAAACAAGGTATCTGAATGGAGTGACTAAGCTTTGAGCTATTTTATGTAGAGCCCCCTTTCCCATGCTGCAGATGGGAGTTGGGCTCCCCCTAGGATCCGCCAGTCCCTGAGGCAGCCTTCCAGCAGGTCTTAGATCCCCTCCTTCAGACCCCACTTCTCACTGACCTTGTGAATTTGCAACTCCAGACTGCTAATGAAGGTGTTGTTTGGAAGAGGGAGAGAGAAGCCCTCCTGAAGTTTTGCTGGAAGGTAAATGGTAGAAAAAGGTGAGCTGGACAAAGAAGTTAGGAGGTGTGGCTCTGGTTTAGGAAATGCAGGCGCCTTCAGCAGACCCACCTGGACAGCTTATCCTGTTAGTCCAGCAAGGGATCATGGCTCCCTCATCATCTAGCAGGCAGTGTTTCTATCCAGGGCATATCACTAAGGACCATTACCTATCTGCCCTGCTTTCTATTTTCCAGAGAACTTCTGCTGTTATTATGTCTTGGTCATAAAAGGTAGGTAGATGGAGCTGGCAGTGGTATGGGTTAAGCCACTGCCTACAATGCTGACATCTCATATGGGTGCCAGTTCAAGTCGTGGCTGCTCCACTTCCCATCTAGTTCCTTGCTGATGTGCCTGGGAAAGCAGTGGAAGATGGCCCAAGTGTTGTGGGTTCCTGTACCCATGTGGGAGACCCGGATGAAGCTTTTAGCTAGTGGCTTCTGCCTGACTTGGCTCTAGCTGTTGTGGCCATTTGGGGAGTGAACTAACAACACATGGATGATAATCTCTCTTTCTATCCCCCTCGCAGGTGACTCTTCCTTCCAAATAAGTAAATATAAAACAAAAGCAAAACAAATGGTGAGACCAGCTGGAGAGGACCCTGGAGGGCAGGAGGCCTGTTGACTCTCAGGCAGCCACTGTTGCAAATATTCTTCAACCAAGGTCACTCAGTAAAGTCATCTCACCCGACCATACACCTGGGTGCCAAGTGCAGGTGGTACTACCTGGAATGGTCCTACTCCATTGGTCTGGCTCCATTACTGTTGAGATTCAGCGTAGTCCTCACCTCCAGCTTCACCTCCAACTTCAGGGTCTCCTCCCCCTCCTCCCAGCTCTCTGGTTGATAACTCTCATGGCATTTATCACACTGATATCACTGCCTTCTCCACAAGGTGTGAACTCCCCAGGGCAGGGCTCAGGGATTATCATACTCCCAGGTGCCAAAGAACAGAGGCTGCCCCTTGTCCGGTGAACGAATGGATGAATGAGTAAATGCATGGTGGGTCTTGCAGCAAGGAGGGAGAATAGGCTTCCTTGCAGGTCAGCCAGGGGCAGCTCTTACCATTGAGAAAGGGTAATACGACCTTGAATACGAAGTGGTTGATGATAACTTCTATCAGCTTCACCTGGTGTGCAGAAACAAGTCATGAATTCAAGTGAGAGTCAAGGGAGGAGCATCTGTCTCCACTCTGGAAACATCTGTCCTATTGAAAATAGGTGTTGGCCATGACCATGGCCACTGCAGAAAAGCACATCCCCAGATCTCTGCTACTGTATTCTCAGAGCATGCAAACTCATTTGACAGTGCAACATGACCTGAACTGTCAGGAACCTGTTTAGTGGTTGTGTGACTATTTCAGCATGTTGTTAGCAAAATATTAGCATGCTTGATTACAGTATGCTTCCCCAGAACCTGTTGGAAGGGCTGAACTCTGCATTATTTCGCAGAAATTCTCATTTCTTAAACCCATCATTAATTCTCCAAGGGCTTAAGATAGAGCACTGTGCACTTGGGCCACTCCCATTCCAATAGTGAACATGTATTGCAGGCCTGCTACGTGAGAGACATTTTGTCAAAGTGTCTTACTTAATCAACTGGTAGATGCAATTGTTATTCCCGTTTTACAGCCAAAGTAACTGAGGCTCAGAAAGGTTATGTGACTTGTCCACCGTCACACAGCCAACAGGTGGCAGAGAAGGTATCTTACTCCACAGTTCATGCCTTTCACCCTGATACCCTCACGGTGACTTTCACCCTGGCTAAGTTTCAGATGTGGTTACCCATTTCCTGTGAGCCTGTGGGCAGTTTCTTAGACCTAATCATATTTCCTGAAACCCCGAAAACCCTGCCTGGGGAAGAGATCCAAGAGATGTTGCAAGAAAGTGACTCACATGGAAATAACTGACGCTGGAGTGCTTCAGCTCGAGCTTCAGGTTACTGTGTGGACAGAGAAACACAGGTCAGTGTTGTTACCCAGGGCACTGTGCAGTGCTGGTGGGCAGGGCCCATGGTCTAGGAGCCTGGTACCTAGGATCCACTCTGCAGTGGGTGACTTGTAAGTCTTGTGGCATTGATAGTGATGCATCATTGGTGTTGGTGAGACTTAAATAACTCACAGGAATTATAATAAATCAGGAGGACTACAAAGAATTGTATGTGCCCTCTATCCCTGATTATGTAATTTTTTTAAGGTTGGAAATGTGGAAATGAAAGCATAAATAGGACTATTAGGCTATTAGGCTTTTTCATTAGTGGGTATTTTGTTGGCTCTTACAGGTAATGGTAATACTTGCAATACATTGTTGTTATTTTAGAAATGAGCAACTGTGCAATGAGCATGTATGATTTTTGAAACGTAGAAGCATGCAATGAGCATAAAAAAGAGGCCCATTTCAATGGGGTCAGGGCATTCCATCGGCAGAAGCCTCTCACCCTGAGGCCAGGAAGTTCCTCTGAGGAGCCCCACTGCACACCTGCAGCTCAGCAGAGAGGACTTCCTGGTGGAGGCCAACCCCAAGAAGGTGCCATAGTCTCTGCTACCCAAAGCCCAGCTCATTGGATACACACCTGCTTTCTGACTTTGTATCTGAGCAGTGGCACAGGAGGGAGAGGCTGGGACACCTTTACCGTTATCCATGACCTTCCTTACTTTGTGATGTGTACAGTTAACTTTTTACCCTCTGAGATGTGAAATCCTTACAAGCACAGCTTTAGGCTCCATCCCCACCCCTACTAGGTAGTCCTGCTTAAATCTCTATTTGTAAAAATTTTGGCTTCTCCACTAATGCCTGAGAGGGGGGAGGTTAGCTGAGAGTCATAGGACCCCAAAGGCAACCTTTGTCTTTCTCAGCTTCCAGCTTTATCCCTGGGGTATGGTTAAGTCTCCTTGCCCAGAGAGCACTGGTGTAGGTAATTTCCTAGCTCCGAAGGTCCCTGGGGCCAGGGTCACCCCAGCTCTATCACTGGACCAGACTGGAGTCTCCAATGGCTATTGAGAAGTCCCCTTCCCACCCACATTCCTCCCCCAGGCCCTGGTCTCTTACCTTCCTGAGGCCACAGAACCAAAGATCCTGCCTGATCTCACACTGATGCTGGCAGAAATGTTGGCTTTCTGGGGTTGGAAAAAAAGCACATTAAGGCATCCTATTGGCTCCTGAGCCAAGGCACAAAGCTCCAGCTATGGACGCCTCAGATGTTATGGACATATGTACCCTGAGGGCAAAGAACAGCTGGCCAAGACTCTGGAAAGAGGGTCGGGCAGACAGGGCAGCTCCACAGCTGACAAAGAAAAGCGAGCTGAGGCTCCAACTGAAAACAGGAAACATTCAAACAGGGAGGAAACGTTCAGTCTGCAAGCACAATGGAAATTTGGAGAAGGCCACAAAGGGGCCTTCGTGGAATGCCTGAACCCTTGGAGAAGTTTAGGGAATGCCACCAATTGGCCCCTGTCTTTAAGAGTGAGGACTGTTTGATCAAACGGTGATTGTATTGGGTTCCTCATCTATAATGGTCAGCTGTTCTACTTGAGGGACTGCCATGGTGGCACAGTAAGCCAATCTTCTGCCTGCAGTGCTGCCATCCCTTGTAGGCACCGGTTCAAGTCCCAGATGCTCCATTTCTGATCCAGGCCCCTGCTAATGGCCTGGGAAAGCAGCAGAGGATGGTCCAAATCCTTGGACCCCTGCTGCTATGTGGGAGACCCAGAAGAAACTCCTGCCTCCCAGCTTTGGATCAGCACAGCTCTGGCCTTTGTGATCATTTGGAGAGTGAACCAGTGATGAACTCTTTCTCCCCATCTCTGTATGACTCCTTTAACTGAAATAAATAATTTGCAATAAATAAATTTCCCTCTCAATAATACTTTATCTGTGTCCTAAAATTTTTGATAATGTTGAAAATGTTCCCCACTGAAGACCTTTATGCTCAGTGAAATAAGCCAGTCCCAAAAGGACAAATGTATGTTCTCTCTAAGATATCTTAGAGAGCCAAGTGCCTCATGGGAGCAAATAGGCTTCAACACACATCACCTGTTCTGTCTGGGGACTCTGTGTTAGCAGAAAGGGACTTCCTTGCATGGTCAGCCAGCCTCTGGATGCCCTGGTCAGAATCGGACTCACCGCCCTAAGATGGAAGAGTGGCCTGTGGGCAGAGGAGTTGCTCTGGAGGGCAGAGATTCGAATGTCCATCACTGGCATGAAGGTCACGTTCCCGGGAGTGAACGTCAGTAATGGCTGTGATTCCGGTGATGCCTCAAACTCTACCTCCATATCAGGGAACAACCTGGCCAACTGGGAACACCCAGGAGAGCAAATATCACAGAATGGAAACAATTGTCTTTTCTAGAATTCATTTCTATGAGGTTAGCTGTCATGATCAGAGAAGGTAATTTGATGGAGTGTCTGGTGGGCAAGACACCCAGTGGACAAGTACAGATGGCAGTAGGTGGCCACCATATTGCCTCTGTGAGGGCTGGTGTGTGTGGACTGGTGGACTATTTGGGCTTGGTGTTGAAGTGTTTATCTTGAGAGAGAGGAGGCCCAGTGCTCCTCCATACTACCCCTTCCACTTATCAACCACGCTTCCACCTAAATGTCCCTATATAGGTAATGACTGGCTTAGCTGCAAATGGCATGTCCAAGCGACCCCTGCTGGCATCCTGGAATGGCTTTGGTGTGTTGGTTGAGTGCTTTCATCTCCCGTATGATTCCTCCAGAAATCCAGTGAGGCAGATAATAATGTCAACCTTGTCAGACAAATAAGGAAGCTGAGGTCTAGCAAGCTAATTCCAAAAATAAATAATAGCTGACCTTGGACTCAAACCCACAAGTCTCAACCCAGATCCTGTGTGTTTGCACTGCATACTCAGTTAATGATTGGCATTAGTAGAATGATTACTTCAACAGCTGTTATTTTTACCCATGGTTCCACCAGCGATTTGTCTACACACAATTCACTGACATGTAATATAATCTCTTGGTCAGGCCTAGGTCAACAGAATTACCCTATCTTCTGAAACAAGTGGGCAGTGCTCTTACCGATGGAAACAGTCCCCGAAGTAAGTTGGTTTGCAGGGAGATTGGGGATTCAGTGGGGACTTGCAACAGCAGCCGTAGAATGTTACTTGAGAGGCAGGAAACCATAGCAGTTAGGCTTGTAGAGTTTGAGATCAGACAGCTTGAGTTCAAGCTTTGCTTCCACCATTTTCTAGCTGACTGGCTTGTAAGGTTTGTTAAGTTCGTCACCTGTAAAGTGGGGATTATAACAGCATTTATCTTTTTTTTTTAAGATTCATTATTCATAGGTATTGGAAAGGAAAATTTACAGAGAGAAGGGGATACAGAGAGAAAGATCTTCCAGCTGCTGTTTCACTCCCTAAGTGGTCTCAATGGCTGGAGCTGAGCTGATCTGAAACCAGGAGCCAGGAACCTCCTCTGGGTCTCATGTGGGCAGCAGCACTTATCTTACAGGTTGTGTGTAGGTGAAATGACGTGCTTGTTGGGTAACATGCTAGGTGAGTGCCTGGCTCATAGGAAGTTTCATTAGAGCTGATTTACACATGCAAGCTCACACTAAGGAGAGAGAGCACAGTGTGATGGCTGAATGGCTAAATCCTCGCCTTGCACGCATTGGGATCCTATATGGGCGCTGGTTCATATCCTTGCTGCTCCACTTCCCATCCAGCTCCTGCTTGTGGCCTGGGAAAGCAGTTGAAGATGACACAGTCTTGGGACCCCTGCACCCACGTGGGAGACCCAGAAGACACTCTAGACTCCTGGCTTCGGACCGGCTCAGCTCCGGCCATAGCACTCACTTGGGGAGTGAATCAGTGGATGGAAGATCTTCCTCTCTCTCCCTTCCTCTATGTATATGTGACTTTGCAATAAAGATAAATCTTAATATATATATATATAGAGAGAGAGAGAGAGAGAGCGAGCGCAAGAGATGTTCTTATTTATCTGAAAAGCAGAGTGACAGAAGAACAATCTTCTGTACATTGATCTACTCTCCAAATGTGTGCAACAACCAGGATTGGGCCAGGCTGAAGCCAGGCTCCCGGAAATTCCATTCCGATCTCTGTCATGGGTGTTCAGGGCCCGGATACTTGGGTCATCATCTGCTGCCTTCTCAGCTGCAATAGCAGGAAACTGGAAGCCAAGTGGCCAGGACTTAGCCTGCTGTGCCACAACACCAGTCTCCACAATCTGGCACTTAATATACTTCTCCATATGGCTTTCCCCAAGCTCTCTCTTTTTTTTAAGCCATCACTCATGGAGCCCGTTGCCTATGCACTCATTATTTCCCGATCTTTTCCTAGGCAAACTTTTTCTATACCCATTTTGGATGGTACCTTAGCTATGTGTGTTCCTTTGCCTAGGCAACTCCACTCACAGCCTACCTTCCCTGAGCTCACCTTCCTCCAGATTCCCACACTTTTCCTGGGCTGCTCCTATAGCATTACTATGGCGGTTAACTGGGAATGTGTGCTGTTCAGGCTTCCCTTCAGGAGCCGCAAGGGCCAACATTGTGGATCAGCTAGTTAATCCTTTGCCTTGCAGTATCAGCATCCCATATGTGTGCTGGTTCATATCCCAGCTGCTCCACTTCCCGTACAATTCCCTGCTTGTAGCTTGGGAAAGCAGTGAATGATGGCTCAGATCCTTGGGCACTTGCACCTATGTGTGGAGACCCAGAAGAAGCTCCTGGATTCTGGTTTTGAATTGGTTCCACTCCAGCTGGTGTGGCCATTTGAGGAGTGATTCAGCAGATAGAAGCTCTCTCTCTGCAAATCTGACTTAAAAAAAATATATATATATATAATATTATAATATGTATTAAATAATATTCATTTAATTCTACTTATAATTTATTAAATTACATATATATATGAGCAGGTTTAAGGAAGGCTGATGACCCTTGCCTTCCTAAGTCCATATCCCCCCACCATTCATGCTGAGGCCACCTGGGGAGCATTGCAGGGGAGGGAGAGCTGGGGACTTGTTAGCTGCCAAGTGTCTTGGTGATCCATCCAGGTGACAGCCAGCATTCACTTAGCACAGTAGCATAAGCAGGAGCCAGGAGCTTCCTCTAGCCCTTCCATGTGGGTGTGGAGGTCCAAGACTTGGGGCATTCTCCACTGCTTTCCCAGGCACATTAGCAGGGAGCCAGATTGAAAGTAGAGCAGCTGGGACTCGAACCAGTGCCCATATAGAATGCTAGCACTGTAAACTATACTTTACCCACTAATCCACAGTCCTGGTTCCATAAAGGAATCTTTAATTCAATTTTCCATGAACTTTTCAGTATATCCTTTGATTTACTGTACTGTTTTTTCTATACATAAATACCAAGGATAAAGTTGAATTTGCAAATTAGGTCCAATAAGAAATTAACAGCAATAAATAATATTAAGGGGCCAGCACTGTGGTGAACAGTGATTTGCAATACCAGCATCTCATGTTGGAGTACCAAAGTCTTGGTCCCGGCTGCCTCACTTCTAATATGGCTTCCTGTTAATGTGTCTGGGAAAGCAGCAGGTGATCGTCCAATCACTTGGAATCCTGCCACTCCCATGGGCGAACATGGTGGAGTTCCTGGCTCCTGACTTCAGCCTGGCCTAGCCCTGGCTGTTGTGGCTAATTGGTAACTAACACTACTCTGTAATGAACATCTGGATGTGTCTTGAAGGAGTCAAGACAAACACTAATATTTTTAGACTGGTATTGATGATGGAGAGGAGGAAACGTGCAGATATGGGAAGACAACTGTGTTCGAGCCACATACACAAATGATAGCGAAACTGAGGCACAGTGTGACTTGAACCCATGTCTGACAGGCTCGAGTTTCTTCAGCTCTACAGCTCCCTTTGAAGTCCCTCCTGGGAGCCCCACCATCCGTTCCTCCTTACCTGGTTGTTTTGGATGATGATGCGTGTGCGCCCAGCCTTTTGGTAGACGTGGCTGGCTGTGTTGAAGATGTATTGAGAGATGGCGAAGTAGAGCATGTGGTCGTGTCGCTGGGGCAGCCTGATGGCTGGGGCAGCAAATGGGACTGGGGTGCGTTGTCTTAGGCTGAAGAATTCACCCTGGAGACAGAGCATGTATTAGCCACCCATAGTTCCTATTGGAGAGATGGTGGCAAGCCTAATCTCTGCCAGGAGGGAAGTCTCTTGGCCTGAGTGATGGTCAAGATGCTGGTTAACTTCCAGAATGCGGGCCCAAGGGTGCTGAAAGAGAGAAAAGGAGAGACACAGAGATCTTCCATCTGCTGGTTCACTCCTGAAATGGCTACAGTGGCTAGAGCTCAGCCAATCTGAGTTCAGGAGCCAGGAGCTTCTTCTGGATCTCACACGTGGGTGCAGGTGCCCAAGAACTTGGACCATCTTCTGTTGTTTTCCCAGGCCATAAGGAGGGAGCTGGATGGGAAGTGGAGCAGCAAGGGCATGAGCCAGCACACATATGGGATGCTGATACCACAGGTAGAGGCTCAACCTGCTAGGCCATGGCACCGGGTTCCCTCTAGGTCTTGACAGTTGCTCAAAATCCTGTTGGAGCATCACCTCTGTAGCGGCAGCCGTGTTCTGAACCTTCTGTGGTCCAGGGCCCAGGGAGAAAGTGGGAAAACATGGACATTTGTCCTTGACTGCTCAGGTTTGATCTTGGATCTTATTATCTCTGGGCCCTGGAGGAAAATCGGTGACTAGAAGGGAATGAGGCTGTTGGTACTTGCTCCTTAGAGCTGGTATGGGATATCAGTAAGTTACATTTGTATAAACTGAGAACTAGTGCAGGCTAAGGAATATGTACGTGCTCCTTAAAGACCAGTGCAGTTGCAGTTGAGGCGCTCCCACAACTGGCTCTGCCCACAGGGAAATCATGGAATTAACAGTGGGAGTGAAGAAATTTCCCTTGCCTAAGGCTATGCTAGCACACCTTGACTCCCTGGATGTTCTGGAGGCCAGAAGCCTAAACAAGGTATCCTTAGGCTTGCACTCCTTCTAGAAGCTATCTTCTAGAAGCAGATAGAACGTGTTCTCTTCCCACCTTCTAGTGGCCACCTGCATTCTTTGACCTGGTATCCTGTTGCCTTGGTCCCTGCTCCCCTGCCTTCCTCTTCTAGGGGCTTCTGTGATTTCGCTTAGCCCAGCTAGACGCACCAGGGTCATCTCACCACATCATCTCTTGGTCTCAGCCACAGAGGCCCTTTGGTGAAGGTTATAGATTCTGGGGAGATTAGGGCACGGACAATTTAGGGATCCACTGTGAGGTCTCCTGTCAGGGTAAAGCAGGTAATAGTGCCTCCTTACGCGTGTACCATGCACTAAGCACTCGCTAAAGCCTCTACACACATCACCCCACTTCATCTCTACACAACCAAAGGCCAGATTATTTTGATCTCAATTTATTTGAAAGGAAATTATTTAAGAATCAGAGAGACAGAGACAGAGGGAGATAGAGGTAGAGGGATCTTCCATCCCCAGATGCCTGCAGCAGCCAAGGCTGGACTAAGGGCAAACCAGAAGGCAGAGGCTGCCTTTGGGCTTCCGTGCTGGCTCCTCAGGTGCATCATCAAGAAGCCAGACTGGGAATGGAGGAGTTGGGACTTGAATCAGTGCCCCGAAATAGGATTCGGAATTGCATGCAGTGAACTAACCTCCTGACCCACAATGCTAATTTGGAGCACCAGCTCAGAGAGGCTGAGTTCTCTCACAAGTTCCCCCACCACGAGTTTCTGAGCCACAATTCAAGTTCAGATTTCTGGACTTCAGGCAAATCACGTTGGTTCACAGACCCAATACTGGGTCTTGGTCTGCAGTGTCCTTTCCCCCACAGTCCCTTACCTTGAAGGATGTGTCCAGGCCTTCAGCAGTCACCTGTGGAGCCTCTACCAAGCTGTAATCAATACCAGCAAACTGATCAATCACCGTGGTGACTGTGAAACAAGGAAAAAAAGTAGTCTTTGCTATAGTGCAGCCAAGCACAGTTGTGCAGGTGGTGCACAATCCAATTCCAGGATGTTCCATTCACACAAATGACGACAGCCTTTGGAGAATAAAAATGGGGCTGGGACTCTTCCTAGTTTTGCAAACCTTTGAGCACCCTGCTCTGAGCAGCCCCAGGCTACCACCCTTGATCTCCCTCCCTGGCCTCCAGAGAAGAGAGGCAGGGCCATTTCCAACCCTGTGGGATGGGGAACACTCAGGGAAAGTTCTCCCATGGAACCCTAGAGTTTGCCCAGTGCTGTGGCTTTCGGAGAGGGGTGGGGGCTCCAAACCTGGCAGAGTGTGAAGGTATGGTTCCAAGTAGGAGCCTGCCAACTTCCTGACCTCTTTGCAGACCTGCCAAAAGTGGGGGAGAACGCCATGTGAATCCTACCTCCTCTTGTCTCCCTGGTGAGGCCCCTGCCCTGGTCACCCCTCCCAGGCACCACCTATGTGCTACCCCTCCAAGCCTGTAGGGATGTATTGGGGGTAGTGTGGACTGTGTGGTGAGAAGCACAAGGAACTATCAGTACCCAGCCCTTGGCCACTGTGCTAATTGGGATGACCTGTGACACAGGCAGGCCCAGCTTCAGTCTATCTTGGGTTTCTCCTGAAACCCACCTTGAAATTGGATGATGATGGGGTTGGCACTGCATCGATCCAGTGTGCCAGCAGCCAAAGTGGCAAGAAATGTTGGACACACATGCACCCGTTAGAGAGCACAGAGCAAAACCCAGGCCCTCCCAGGAGCCAGGAGGCCATTGCCAGCCTCATCATGTCCTCTTCCTGCTGGCCTCTCAGGCTCCGTGGGCTTGGAGAGTGCCATGAGGCAGTGTGGCCACCAAAGGGCCTAATAGAGTCAGAGGAGAGTTCTGTCTTTACGGCCAAGTCAGAGTCAGCCACCTGCTTCCTCCTGGGGAAGCCATGGAGTTCCACGGCCTTCCTAGAAGGCCCTGTTCCACTGTTTCCTGCCCTAAGCAATTGCTACATCATCTCCATGGCTTAACCTTTCTCATATTTCAATGTGTCCTATTCATAGTCCTTTCTTCCAAGTTTGTTTTTAAGTACACATTTTGAATAAATATACAGAAACAAAAACTTGGTGACACCTTTGGCCTAAATAGGATCTAAAGAGGAGTATGCCCTCACAGCCTTGAGGAAGCACACACTCTTGAAATCTGACTAGATCCTACTGCCTAGTTACATAATGCCTCCTTGATGTTGAAACAAACAGCAATGTGTTCAGGATACACTGGCCACAGCCCAAGACTTTCCCTTAATGTGTGAGGAAAGAAAGAGAACCAGCAAAAGGAATTACTTGTTCATTCTGTCATTCTGCATAATTTAACACCAAGGCTTCACATGACTTAAAATCAACTCTCTGTCTGTAAGAAGCTTTGTTCTAACACAAATTCCAGGCCAGCCAAAGGCCAGGGGGCAGGCCTACCTAGACCTTCTGGGAACTCCAAGTAAGGACGGTGCCCTCCTGGGTGGTAGAAAGAGAGCAGCTCTCACAGGACTTGGAATGCCGTCCACTGTAGGGCTTCATCCATCCTGCCTACCCCTCAGCCGGAGGACCTCCTTCTACTGAGAACTGCCCACTCACAGCTCCCACGAGACTGAAGTGCCTCAAGCCTTCTACTTCCTTTTCAGAAGTGAGAGACAGCAGAGGCCACCCCCACTGCTCTTCTCCATATGGTACTTTTTTTTTTTTTTTTGGCAGAGGGAGGTCTTGTTTAGGAAATAATTTGCTGGGCTGACACAATGTGGCTTAGCAGACAGAGTTGTCACCTGTGACATCAGCATCCTGCATGATTGGTGGTTCAAGTCCTGGCTGCTTTGTTTCTTCTAAATTCAGCTCCCTGCTAATGCACCCAGGAAAGCAGCAGAAGATGGGCCAGCTGCTTTTGGGATCCTGCCACTTATGTGGGAGACCCAGATGGAGTTCCAGGCTCCTGGTGTCTGCCTGATCTAGCCATGGACATTGTTTGTAGCCATTTAAGGAGTGAACAAGTGGATGGAAGATTCTCTCTCTCTCTTTCTCTCTCTCCCCTGTTCTTGTGTAGCTCTGCCTTTCAAGTAAATAAATCAATTTTGAAAGAAAAAATAGGATCCCAGCATTGTGTGAGTAAAGGAGCCATTCGCAACACGCCGGCATCCCCTGTGGGCACTGGTTTGTGACCCAGTTACTCCACTTTTGATCTAGCTCCCTGATAATGACCTGGAAAAGGCAGCAGAGGATGGTCCAAGTGCATGGGACTATGTCACCCTCATGCAAGACCTGTATGAAACTCCTGGCTTTGGCCTGGCTGAGCCCTGGCCATTGTGGTCACGTTGGAAGTAAACCAGCAAATAGAAGATTCCCCCTCTCCATGTAACCTTGATTTTCAAATAAATAAATACATCTTTTAAAAATTTTAAAAAGAGAATAATCTTCCTAAACTCAGAAAAATGCCACAGCTTTTCTCCAGAAAATTTGTAAAATTTGTTTCAACATTTAAATCCCCAAACTGGGCTTAACTTTGGTGTGTGTGGTGTGAGGGAGGGATCCAAAGTGATTTCTCCCCAAGACTCATGTTTTGCTAATATTCATTGTAACTAGTGATTAGATAACCAAACACCATGGTGCCAGTAGAGCATATGTGCTCATACCTTGCCTTGGGAAAGCCTGTGAGTTTGCCTTGGCACCGTACCATGCACTTAAGAAAAAAGATGGTTTCCAACATCAGCTACACATATGCCAGTACCTGGGCAAACTACAGTCCACTTATCCTTGTACTCACCTCTTGTTCCAAGAGACTCTTGATACCATGTTCAATTTTTTCATGGAAGAGATTGAATATCCAGCTGGAGCAGAGAGTCAGGGGACACTTTATGATTTAACTGAGATTTCCAACAGCAGCGACCCACGGACCTAAACTTTTCCCATTCTGCTCCAACAAAAGGGACTCTGCCAATCAGATTTAATCCATGAGAGGTAACCCAGCCTGATGTTGTACATCTGAGCGGGTCACCTCTCCAGCATCCCTTTCCTTTCTTTAAATCCACTTTTTCCTCATTTCATTGGGGCTAGCCCCACCCCTACCCTTAGGTTGAAGGAGGGCACTAGACTGGCTCAACCAATCAGAATCCATATTGATCTTTGATCCAGGGATAAACACACAATTCAACACAAACCAGTGAGAGCTTTCCCCATGGCTCTTGCAGGTGCTGTGGGAAAGGATGGTCTCACTTGCTGACAAGCACTGAGGCTAGGAGCTTGGTGGTACTGGGGACCATCTCTGCCACTCTAGAGTGGTGGGCCCCACTTGAGGATCAAGCAAACAGAGGAAAGAGCACATTCAGGAGAGAGAGATGTCTGATGATGTTGACCAAACACAGGTCACACCTTTGGCTCTGTCTCTTGGGCCTCCCAATTACATTTGAGCCAGCTATGCCCGCCCTCCCTTCCTTCCTTTCTTCCTTACTCCCCCCTCTTTTTAAGATTTATTTATTTTTATTGGAAAGGTAGATTTATATAGAGAAAAATATTCCACCTGCTGATTCACTTCCCAAATGGTTACAATGGCTAGAACTAAGTTGATCAGAAGCCAGGAACCAGGAGCTTCCTCCAGGTCTCCCATGTGGGTGCAGGGTCCCAAGGCTTGGGGCCATCCTCAACTGCTTTCCCAGGCCACAAGCAGGGAGCTGGATGGGAAGTGGGGCAGTCAGGAGAGAACTTTAGCTACTAGGCTACTGCGCCAGGACCTTCTTTTTCTTTCTTCTCTCTCTTTTTTTTTTTTGCACTTGAAAGGAAGAGTTACAGAAAAAGAGAAGGAGAGAATGAAAGAAATATCCAGCATTCACTGATTTTATTTCCCCAAGTAGTGCAAGAGCTGTAACTGGGCCATACTGGATTCTTGAGCTCTCTGGGTCCCCCATGTGGGTGCAGGGGCCCAAACACTGAAGCTATCCTTTGCTGCCTTTCCAGGCTTGTTAGCAGGGAGCTGAGTCAGAAGTGGAGCAGTCAGGACTTGAACCAGCACTCATGCTATGCCAGCCTCACAAGTGGTAACATAAGCCACTTTACCACAGTGCCATCCCCAAGTCCATTCTTCATACTTCTTCATACATTGCATTTGAATAGGATCTGTCTAACTTGAGACTTAAAGGAGGTTAATGAGTTCAGACATCAAACGTCTTGAGGACTGTTAAGGAAGGGAGCAAGCATGTCCCAGGAAAGACAGGAGCAGATGCGAATCAACTTCTGCAAAGTACACCCCACGCCATTCATAAGAGAAGCGACAGTTTAAGATCCCCTTCACTTTGATGGGAAGCTACTGTTGTAACACAGCAGGTTAATGCTAGTGTAGACAAGCAGATACTTTCATGCATGACCAGCGGGATGGAGGTAACAAGTCCCCTTGGAAGATAATTTGTGACCACACATTAAGACTACAAAAAACAGGGCCCGGTGCGGTACCCCAGCAGCTTAAGTCTTATCTTTGCATGCTCCAGGATCCCATATGGACACCGGTTCTAATCCCAGCTGCTCCTGTTCCCGTCCAGCTTCCTGCTTATGGCCTGGGAAAGCAGTCAAGGATGGCCCAAAGCCTTGGGATCCTGCACCCATGTGGGAGACCCAGAAGAGGCTCCGGGTCCTGGCTTCTGATTGGCTCAGCTTCAACCATTGCAGCCACTTGGGAAGTGAACCAGTGGATGGAAAATGTTCCTCTCTGTCTCTCCTCCTCTCTGTATATCTGACTTTCCAATAAAAATACGTAAAAAAAAAAAAAAGACCACAAAACAGATTTACGCATAATAATTTATCCTACGATTTATTTGCACAGGTGCAAGATAATATTCTACTCAAGATTATCTTTTATAGGCATTGTTTGGAACAGCACAACACTAGTGGACTACCCTTCTCCAACTAAAATTCTATTAAGTGAGGACTAATCATATATACTTCTGTCGCTGTATGTTTATTATCTAAAATAGGGGTGCTTATTTTTCTCTTAAAATATTAATATATTCAAAAGGCAGAGTGACAGAGACAGACAAAATCCACTAGCCACCTTGTCTGGCAGTTGGGCGATTAGTCACTCACTACCCTCGTGGAGCCCATGATAGGTGACCTGGGTGAGCAACATCTCCAGCAAGTGCATGTGACTGCTTACCTTAAGCTTCCAGAGGTGTCAATGCTGACGTGGCCGATGGAGTTGCTGCACTGGACCACGGAGGCGGTGGGCCGCCCGGCCTGATCCTTGCCCAATCTCAGAGAAGCAGAGATGGAGATGTCCAACCTCAGATCAAAGGTCCCCTCGAGGATGCTGGTTGGGAGATAGGAGAAAATTGTTTATCTTCTGAGTCTCCACCAGGAAGAAGAGGACAAAAAATGAAGACTGGTTTGAGTCTCAGGACTCCACTGGCTAGCTGTGTGTTTGACTTTTAACTCATCGTTGATGAGAACAGCCAGTGTTCACTGAGTGTTTGTTGTGTGTATGTGTGTGTGTTTTTTTTTTTTATCTTCAGCTATGCCTCTGAGGTGAGCTGTTATTAGCCTTATTTCACAAATTCTAAAACTGAGGCATAGGGACCAGATATTTAAAAATCCAGGAATAGGGCCCGGTGTGGTAACCTAAAATTCTCTTATTGCATGCACTGGGATCCCATATGGGTGCCGGTTCTAATCCTGGCTGTTCCACTTTCCATCTGGCTCCCTGCTTTTTCCTGGGAAAAGCAGTTGAGGATGGCCCAAAGCCTTGGAACCTTGCATCAAGGGGCTGCCTGGGAGACCCAGAGGAAGCTCCTGGCTCCTGGCTTTGGATTAGTTCAGCTCTGGCCGTTGCGGTCACTTAGGGTGTGAACAAGCAGATGGAAGAGCTTTTTCTCTGTGTCTGTCTCTGTAGATCTGACTTTCCAACAATAATAAATAAATCTTAAAAAAGGGCGGGGGGGCGCAGCACTGTTGCCTAGCTGCTGAAGTCCTCGCCTTGAACCCTTGAACCCATGTGAGTGCCAGTTCTAATCCCGGCAGCTCCACTTCCCATCCAGCTCCCTGCTTGTGACCTGGGAAAGCAGTCAAGGATGGCCCAAGGCTTTGGGACCCTGCAACTATGTGAGACCCAGAAGAGGATCTGGCTCCTGGCTTCGGATCGGCACAACACCTGCCATTGCAGGCACTTGGGGAGTGAATCACTGGACAGAAGATCTTCCTCTCTGTCTCTCCTCCTCTCTGTATATATCTGACTTTGCAATAAAAATAAATTAAAATGAAAAAAGGAATCCAGGATTGGGGTGCAGGGAATAAGCTGTCCCTTGGGAGCCCATGTTTAAGTTCCGGAATTTAAGTCCCAGCTCCACGTGTGAGTCGGGTTTCCAGCTAAGGTGTACCATGAGAAGCAACAGGTGATGGCCCAAGTGCTTGAGTCCCTGCCACCCACATGAGCGACCTGATAGAGTTCCTGGCTTCATCCTGGTCCACCCTTGGCTATGATAAGCATTTGGGGGAGTGAGTAAACTGATGGAAGATCCCTCTGTCTCTCTATTTTCAAATAAACAAAATCCAGAAGGGGAAATCTGCCCAGGGCTGGAATCAGTACAACTCACATGAACTCCTTCTCCACCTTCCAGCTCCCCCCGGCCCGCAGGAAGTTGTTGGACAGAGAGACTTCCACGTCATGCTCTGGAAGGAGATCCAGTCCTGCGTCCCCGAGTCTGAAGTGATGGATCTTTAGGCTGTAGTGGAGGGAGGAAGGCAGAGTGCAAAACAGAAGAATCAGGTGCACGCCTATCTCTTGCCTGACTCCTCGGAGTCTCTCCAGCGTTTCCTGCTCTTCCCAGGGTATTGACCTGACTCTCAGAGTGCTGTGTGATCATCACTTCCCTGTCTTTCGAGGTTGGTTCAGGCTCTCAAACCCCTGCCTTGGCCTTCCCTTCCCAGATCTAAATGGATGGACTGACCTGTGCAAACTATACGTGTGCAGACCCCTTTTGCACCTGCCTTTTAGTTGGGCTGGATGGCAAGATGGGAATGGCAAGGGTCTTTTTTCTCTATCTGTTAGGGTTGTCCCTGGCTGTGGTTTTATTTCCACAACTGGGCCAGCTCCCACCAGACAACCCTGGTAGGACTCCAGTCTGCAGTTGTGACCTAAGGACTAGTGAATGGCCTGCAGGGGTCTTCGTCTCATCCTGATGGTTCAGGACACACCTGGCCTCTTCCAGAAGCCCCACAAAAAGGGCCATGGTCACCATCACTGTCCCTAATCCACCTGCTGATTCTGTGTTTATCCTTGCCCTCCACGATCCTGGGCTCCCACCCTTCCTTCTTCACTGCCCCTGGGCTGGAGAAAGGCGATCTCTCACCGGTGAAGCTCATAGCTCACATTTCCAAACCAACCGGCCTTGTAGCTTCCCAAGAAATCAGGCAACCTGAGGTTGGACAGCTGCTTGTTCAGGATGGTTACTCCATACTGGCAGGCTGTGGAGAAATACAAGGACTTTGAGTGAGTGCATTTGATGGGAGTCGGCCTGAAGTAGCAGCTGAGTGGCCCAGCTTTGGAGTATCATTGGCCTGCATTTGAGAGTAAGGTGTACCTCTTACAACTGATGCAGTCCCAGACAAGACCCTCAGGTTCCTTGAGCCTTGGATCTCTCATTTGCAGAGTGGGTAATGACACCAGCCAGACTCTGAGAACTGAACTGTATCAGACATTCCAAGTGCCAGGTCAATGATAAATCAGGCTTATTCATTCAACAAAATCTTGCAAGCAGTGATAGAAAATGGGGAGGGGGAGTGAGGAAGGGCTTTTGAAGCACCATTCACTACACTGGGATCAAACCTGAGGGGTTTTTTTTTGGCTATATGTTGGCAATACAAATTCTCAGGCCCTTCCCAGCTAGTCTTAGGTGGTACCCTGGGATCCATATTTTCAGTTGTGTTGCAGAAATTCTAACATAGGGGGAAATACTGATCTAGTTTTACCTTTACCCTCCAATATCCAAGATGGTGAGACTCAAGTTGAGAGGGGGACATAACCCAAGTTTCTAAGTCAGCCAGAAGCCAAACCCTCGTCCAGATTTCCTTGTCCTTGTTACCACACTTCTGGATACCAGGAGGAAAGGCCAAATCCCCTTACCATATTCCAGGCCTTTTCTGGAGACCCTGGCCACAAAGCCAGGATTAGAAGTCCCTTCGCCAAACCTGGAGACCCCTGCCAGCAACCACAGCACCACTATCACAGGGTACAGTCTGGCCATCATTCAGCTCTTCCTGGGGCAGCAGTGGGTCAGAGCCTCTTGGTGGGAGCCACCCTGACTGAAGGTGGCGTCAGAGGCAATCACCTGCTTATAAAGCCAGGAGCCAGATGAGGAACTGAGCCAGCCCGGGGCCTGAGGGCGGTGGGGAAAATTGAGGACTTTGGAGCAGCCTCATTTCCAGCAACTTGAGATGGGGAGAAGATTGCTTGTGAAACCATTTGAGATTCATTTTTGGCTGAGAGTAGCAGAAATAGTGCTGTGTTTCCCATCTCTTCCTCTTCCTGACTGCTGCCAGTGCTGCCCAGAGAACCTACCCCCACAACACTGTTGGCTACTGAAGGCACCCATTTATCACTTCTTATCTATGGATTGAAGTCTCAGTGCCCTGCCAGGCTGCCAAGGCCACCACAACTTGGCTGCTATGGGCTTTTCCAACCGGATCTTCTACATTGGCTTTGCTGAAATTCACAATTCTCTATTCACCTCTCTAAAGACCATCTTAAGTCAGATCAAACATGAAAGAGTTGACAGAAGTGCGAGGGAGGTATACCACAGTTCTGGCATCTAACCACTGGCTGTTTTTTTTCTCTTGTCTTTGTTGTTCTTGTTGTTGTTTTAGTCAACAGCTTTTAGTTATCAAAATATTTATGTATTTGATAGGGAGAGTGATAGAGACAGGTCTTTCATGCAATCATTTATTCTCCAAATGGCTGCACCAACTAGAGTTGAGCCAGGCTGGAGCCAGGAGCTGGGAACTCCCTGAGGGTCTCCCACTTGGGGTGGGAACCCAATCACTTGGGCCATCTTCTGCTGCCTTCTCAGCCACATGAGCAGGGAGCTGGATGAGAAGTAGAGGAGCCGATTCTCAAATCAGCTCTCTGATTAGGGACCCTAGAGGCAGAAGCAGCAGTTTACCCCATGGGTCTGATCCCCTAGCCAACTGTATTGAGTTATGATTTGTATGTGATTAAATGTTTGCATTTTTAAGGACATAGTGCAAAGTCTTGATGTATGGACCACACCATAATCAAAATACAGAACATTTCATCATCCTAAGAGATTCTTGGTGCTTGCTTCTGGTTAATCTCCTTTCTCATCTTCTACCCAGGAAAACTGTGAGGTTTGGAGATGAATGAGAGAGAGGTTTTTAGTTCAGGAAAAGAGTTTCATTTAGTTACAGGAGAGAGTCTGATGGACTGCACCCCGGGCGGAGGCAGTCTAGGGCCACTTCCATACGGTGGGGTGAGCGTGTGAGGGAAATGGCTGCCATGGGTATACAACACTGGGCTTTTATTCATCTTAGGCGTCGGGGATGGGAAAAGGTGGCAGCTCCTTGGTTTGGACATGTTTGTGGCCTGTAGTTTGTGGGATACACATCACGGCAGGTGTTAAGCTTCTGTGCAGAGATGAGGTTAGGGTGATTTGGCATCCCCAATATTCCTGCGTCAGTATGACTTCTGCAGGGAGGGTGAAGTCACTTCTGCTCTGCCAAACCTAACAAAAACCGCCAAGCTATTTCCTGTTACCATAGATTTATTTTGATTGTTCTAGAACTTTATGTAAATAAAATCATGTAAAATAGATTTCTGTCTTTGTGCATCATTATGATTTTTTTTTTGTTTAGTTTCATTTTGTGTCTCTTATTTTGATTACTGACTAGTACTCTACCTCATTATTGCTAGATAGGAAATACATTCATGCAGTTCAAAAGCAACCAGTACAAAAAGATCCACAGCAAAAAAAAAAAAATCTCACCCTTAATTTTCTTCTACATCTTTCTGGTTCCCAGCTTCTTCCCATCATAGCAATGTAAAATTATACCATGGTAAGTGGCAGCAGATGTGCAAAAGGCAACGCAGAGAGCCACCAAGGAGAGGTGCTTGAGCTTGGTTTTGAAGTATGAGTAGGAATTAGACAAAACAGAAGCAGAAGGCAGAGGGAATAGCTGAGCCAAGGCATGGAGCTTTTGACAACAGTGCCCCTCCTGGAGGTCATAAATGTGTCAACAGCAAGGGCTGGGATGGGGAGGGGGGTGGAAGGCAGGGACTGCAGTAAGCATCTCATCCTGAAGGGCTGTGCAGGTATGATGCTGAGATCTCTTTAATGCTTCCAGAGCACATTTCCTCGTGCTCTGTGCAGTCGCTTTTCCCTCTGGGTAGTAGCAAATACTCCTTCATGACAGCAGTCCTGGTTCTATTACTTTTCAGTCCTGTCTGACTTCATTTAGCCTTGGTCCTATTCATCTTAAAAATCTCCACCTAAAGGATGGCATCCGGCCTGGGAATGAAGACAGCATATGGAATGTTTGATATCCCATCAGAGGGCAAGTCTCAGCTCCTCTCCCAACTCCTGCTTCTTGGAATGTACTCTGGGATGCAGAGGGTGTTGGCTCAAGTGCTTGAGTCTCTGCCAACCACATGGGAGACCTGGGTAGAGTTGCAGGCTCCTGGCTTTGGTCTGACACAGTCCAGGCTGTTGTAGGTATCTGGAGAGTACCCACACAGGTGGCAGATTTCTCCCTCTCTGCATTTCTTTTCCTTTCAAATAGTAATTAAAAAATCTCAATCTGCTACTTAAGTTAATGTCCTTCCCCTTGTTCCCTGTGGCTCTCGTGGTTTGAAGCAAAGAAGCAGGGGTGCAGGTGTGAGCACATGTATGTGGGTCCACATGGGCACGTGCAGCTTGTCTTCATCTCATGAACATGTCCCTCCCTCTCCCCCATTCTGTTCCTGTAGGGAGGAGGCTGGGAGGTTACCTGGGTGGGCTGGTGTCCTCTTGGTGAGTCACAGTGGTGCTAAACTGGCTGTCCTCTCACTGAGGGGCCTCACCCCAAGTCAAGTTCAACTCACGGTAGGAAAACCCCATGGCTGAGGAAGCCATGCGCTGCAAGCTACTGATGCGGGCAAAGATCGGCCTAGATGTCATGGGCAGTCAGGGCCACCACTTTATCCTCCACCCTCAGGGAAGCTCAGGAGGCCCTGGGCTCAGCTGACAGCCGACTAGGAGCTGAGAATCAGGTTCTTCGGCTTAGCATCCTGGAGCCGCTCTCCCGGGGTCGCTGTCCCCTGGGCTTTGTTGTAGTGGAAATGATGGAGAATTCTTTCCCGTTTGCCATGTGATGGTGTGTGGGTGGGTGGGGGGAAGGGGAGAGCTGAGGCTCTTTCTCTGTTGTCTTAGAAATAGCTGAGTTGGGAATATGGAAAGGGCAGCTTTTGTTTCTTTATTTTTTCTTGAAGATTTATTTGTTTGAAAGGCAGAGTGACAGAGTTGGTTGTAGTAGGGGCAAAGATGGGAAGAGAGAACAATCTCGTCTGCTTGTTCAGACCCTAATGGCCCTGCTGGCCCCCGATGGCTCCTGATGGCCCCTGATGACCCCTGATGGCTCCTGATGGCCCCCGATGGCCCCTAATGGCTCCTGATGGCCCCTATGGGCCCTGATGGCCCCCTGATGGCCCCAGATGGCTCC